GCTGCAAATTGAACACAAAGGAAGATGACCTCACTGTGGACAAGGTATGAAATCTAATCAGACAAAATATTCAGCTGGACTCATATTTAGATACTCAAAAGTGATAAGCAGGGCATTCTGGTAGTGAGAAAACCATGTAGGTGGCAAACAACAGTTTGTTCAGAGAAAAACAAGTGATTGAGTTCTGTTCTTAGAGTGCTTTCCTTGGTGTTGAACATGAAGGAAAGTGTGGTAAGGTCATTTGCAGGGTGTAAAGAGGTGGGATGGGAAATGTGATGGAGGATGTGATATGGAATCAAATGAATAAGAATAAAAGGATTACAAACAGCATTCAAGGTCCAGGTAAGTTGAGATAAATGTGAAATGCAGTTAGTTCAATTTCTTGTCTATTTTAGCAATGTTCAGCAAGCCTACAAAGAGAAGATTAGAGATTGGCAAGTTAAATGCAGCAAGAAGGACAAGAGGCAGATGGGAATGGTGTTGAAATAGTTTCCCTTGAGGCCCATTGAGTAAGGAATGAATGAGGCATAAAGGGAGCTGGGCAGTCAGTATTTGAGGAAGAGACCCAGGAAGGGCCGATGACAGATCTGATAATCTTAGACTAATCACAATCTTGTTTCCTCATCTGATTTTTTAGCTGGCTGTGTTGCATGATTTGTAAGTTCCCTGCCAGCTTCTAATTTAAAAACAAAACAAAACAAAACAAAACAAAACAAAAAAAACCTCTTTTCCTCTTGGCCTCTTTTTCAGAACAGATTGAACTACTTTACATGTGGCCTCATAGAAAAGGGTAGAATGGGAGGCCAGGTTTAATATCGGGTCATGGCAACCATGCCTGAATTATAATATTTTTAATTTGACCAAAAGTTGGAAAAGGAGACTGGACTAAAGGTCAGCTTTGGGATAGGATGTGGCAGTTGGGCTGTACAGGTTTAGTAGGAGTAGGCAGCAGTGGAGGAGATAAAGATTTGAGATTAGAATCAGGAGGACAGTTTGGGGGGTTTGAAATCTTGGAGATGGAGCATTTCCAAGTACTGATCAAAGTCCAGATATGGGCAGACTCATGTGGATTAGTAGAAGACAAGATGAGGTTTGTATAGTTTGAGGGTTGGAAGAACGACAAGGTCAAGGTATAGGAGTCTGTGGTCCCTAAGAATCCATTAGCAAACGTTTCTTGAGGGCCTATTAAGTGCCAGGCATGAATGGGACTTAGAAGACTTGAGCTATGGTTTTAATATGTCCTCCCCAAACCACTGTTGGGGATTTAATCCTCACTGCAATGGCATTGTGAGGTGAGTCCTAAAGGAAGGTGTTTCATATACCAGGGTTATGGGGGCTCCACCATTGTGAATAGACTAGTGTTCATTATAAAAGGGTTTGAACTGCAAGCTTGTCCCCCCTCTCTCACTCACTCTCTCGTGCATACACACTTGTCCTTCCATTTTCCTCCATAGGATGATGCAACAAGAAGGCCCTTACCAGATGAAGCCACTTGGTTTTGGACTTCCCAAGCTCTAGAACTATAAGAAACAAATTTCTGTTCTTTATAAATTACACAGACTCTGGTATTGAGTTAGAGTAGATAATGGGTTAGGAAACTTGGATGGTTGTCAGGCTTGAGAAGCAGGGAGATGGAAAGTGTAAAGTAGATGTCTACTCTAACATGTGGAAAGACTAATGAGAGATTAGATGAACCATGGTCTGAAAGAAGTGTGGGAGAAGAAATTTTTGAAATGCTAGGTCATAAATTTATAACTGATATAACGGAGTATAAGAAACTGGTATTCTCTTACATTAAATTTAGACACTTTATCTTAGATGTTTAAGAAACACAAGCTGAGGGTAGGTATTTGACCTAGTGGTCAAGACACCCACATCCCATCTCAAACTTACTGGGGTTCAATTACCAGTTACGGCTCCTGATTCTGGCTTCCTGTCAGTGCAGACCCTAGGAGGAGTAAGTGAAGGTTGATGTAGTTGGGTCCCATCCACCCACATAGGAAGCCTGGCTTCAGTGCCTCCCAACTTCAGCCTGGCCCAGTCTTGGCCATTGTGGGCATTTGGGGAATGAGAGCTCTGTTTCCCTGCCTCTCAAATAAAAAAAGGGAAAGACTGTTGCTATTTTTGCAATATTTAAGACCTATATTTCTTTTCTTTTTTTTTTAAAGAGACTTATTTATTTGAAAGCAGAGTTCTAGAGAGGCAGAGGCAGAGGTGCAAGGGGAGAAGGAGAGAGAGAGAGAGAGAGAGAGAGAGAGAGAGAGAAATATCTTCCATCCACTGGTTCACTCCCAAACTGGCTGCAAAGGCTGCAGCTGGGCTGCTCTGAAGCCAGGAGTTAGGAGTTTCCTCCAGGTCTCCCACGTGGATGCAGGGGCCCAAGCATTTGGGCCATATTCTACTGCTTTCCCAGGCCATAGCAGACAGCTGGATTGGAAGAGGAGCAGCAGGGACTTGAACCGGTGCTCTTATGGGATGCAGGCACTGCAGGTGGCAGCTTTATCCACTAAGCCACAGTGCCAGCCCCTGCTCCACTTCTGATCTAGCTCCCTGCTAATGGCCTGTGAAAGCAGTGGAAGACGGCTCAAATGCTTGGGCCCCTGTACCCCCATGGAAGACCCAGAAGAAGCTCCTGGCTCCTGGCTTTAGATCCACCCAGCTCCGCCATTGCGGCCATTTAGGGAGTGAACCAGCAGGTGAAGACCTCTCTCTTTGTCTCTCCTTCTCTCTGTCTGCAGCTCTGCCTCTCAAATAAATTAATCTTTTTTAAAAGATTTTTTTATTTAGTAAATATAAATTTCCAAAGTACAGTTTATGGATTACATTGGCTTCCCCCCCCCCCATAACTTCCCTCCCACTCGCACCCCTCCCATCTCCTGCTCCCTCTCCCATTCCATTCACATCAAGATTCATTTTCAATTATCTTTATATACAGAAGATCAATTCAGTATATACTAAGTAAATATTTCATCAGTTTGCACCCACACAGAAACACAAGTGTAAAATACTGTTTCAGTACTAGTTATAACATTACTTCACATTGGACAACACATTAAAGACAGATCCCACATGAGAAGTAAGTACACAGTGACTCCTGTTGTTGACTTAACAATTTGACACTCTTGTTTATGGTGTCAGTAATCTCCCTAGTCATGAGTTGCCAAGGCTATGGAAGCCTTTTGAGTTCACCGACTTCGATCTTATTCCGACAGGGTCATAGTCAAAGTGGAAGTTCTCTCCTTCCTTCAGAGAAAGGTACCTCCTTCTTTGATAACCTGTTCTTTCCACTGGGATCTCACTTGCAGAGATCATTCATTTAGGTGTTTTGTTTTGTTTTGTTTTTGCCAGAGTGGCTTGGCTTTCCATGCCTAAAATACTCTCATGGGCTTTTCAGCTGGATCCAAATGCCTTAAGGGCTGATTCTGAGGCCAGAGTGCTGTTTAGGACATCCACTATTCTATGAGTCTGCTGTGTATCCCACTTTCCATGTTGGATCGTTCTCTCCCTTTTAGATTCTATCAGTTAGTATTAGCAGACACTAGTCTTGTTTGTGTGATCCCTTTGACTCTTAGACCTATCAGTGTGATCAATTGTGAACTGAAGTTGATCACTTGGACTAGTGAGATGGCATTGGTACATGCCACCTTGATAAATAAAGATTTATTTATTTATTTGAAAGTCAGAGTTACACAGCAGAGAGAGGAGAGGCAGAGAGAGAGAGAGAGAGAGAGAGAGAGAAGTCTTCCATCAGATGGTTCACTCCCCAATTGGCAGCAAGAGCTGAAGCTGCGGCGATCCAAAGCCAGGAGCCAGGAGCTTCCTCTGGGTCTCTCATGTGGGTGCAGGGACCCAAGGACTTGGGCCATCTTCTACTGCTTTCCCAGGCCATAGCAGAAAGCCGGATTGGAAATGGAGCATCCAGGTCTTGAACCGATGCCCTAATGGGATGCCGGCACTTCAGGTCAGGGCGTTAACCCACTGTGCCAGAGCGCTGGCCTCTAAATTAATCTTTTAAAAAAATTAAGCTTTAAAGAATATAGGTATGGAAAAGTAAATAATACATAAATTATAGTGTGATAAATACACAAAGTAATCCTTTTTTTTTTTTTTTTGACAGGCAGAGTTAGACAGTGAGAGAGAGAGAGATAGAGAGACAGAGAAAAAGGTCTTCCTTCCATTGATTCACTCCCCAAATGGCTGCCACAGCAGGCGCGCAACACCGATCTGAAGCCAGGAGCCAGGTGCTTTTCCTGGTCTCCCATGTGGGTGCAGGGACCCAAGCACTTGGGCCATCCTCCACTGCCTTCCCGGGCCACAGCAGAGAGCTGGCCTGGAAGAGGGGCAACCAGGACAGAATCCAGCGCCCCGACAGGGACTAGAACCCGGTGTGCCGGCTCTGCTAGGTGGAGGATTAGCCTATTGAGCCGCGGCGCCGGCCATCTGACTTTCAAGTAAATAAATAAATCTTTAAAAAAAAAAAAAAGAAATAATTCAATATGCTTAAAAGCACACTATATTTTCTCTGTCTCTGGAACCCAAATTTTTTTATTTTTTAAAAATTTTTATTAATTAATTTTTTTGAGGGCCAGAGAAAGAGAGAGAGAGACAGAGATAGAGAGCTCCGATCTGCAGGTTCACTTCCTCAGAAGCCTGCAATGGCTGAGAATGGATCACGCTGAGGGCAGGAGCAGGAACTCAATCCAGGTGGCAGACTCAACTACTTGAGCCATCAACTGCTGCCTCCCAGGGTACCCATTAGCAGGAAGCTGGAATCTGGAGTTGGAGCCATGACTTGAACCCAGGCACTCCAATATGGAAGGGGGTCCCAACCTGACATTTTAATCACTAGGTCAAATGCCTTTCTCTGAAACATGTTCATTAATAGCATAGAAAACAGCCCTTTTCAATAACATATACCTAACACTGTTTGATGGTTCTTACTTTTTATAAGTGTTAAAGAAGCAGACCATCAGCTAGATAAACTGAGGTAGGAAACTTACCTTTAATTCTTCTTGCCACTGCCTTTTGGTTAGGTCTTGTCCTTTTCTTTCCCTGTAAAAACATGAATATTTATGTTTCTATATTAATTTATGAATGAAATGAGAATGTGTTTTGAAAAATTAACTGTAATATATAGCACTAGGTATGTCCTTGTTGAAGTCAATGCTTTCAAATTTTTATTTGTAGCCCTCCACCATTTTAATCTTCAAAATATATGATTATTTCTTTTGTTTAAATAAAAGGGTCTTATGAGCTGGCAATGTGGTATAATGGGTAAAGCCCCTCTCTGCAATGCCAACATCCCATATGGGCAGTGGTTCATGTCCAGGCTTCTCCACTTCCAAACCAGCTCCCTGCTGGTGTCCTGGGAAAAGCAGCAGAAGATGGTCAAGTACTTGGGCCCCTGTCACCGACATGGGAGACCTGAAAGGAGCTCCTGGCTCCGCCCTGGCCATTGCAGCCACTAGGGGAGTGAACGAGTGGAGATAAGACCTCTCTCTCTCTCTCTTTCTCTCTGTGTGTGTGTGTGTGTGTGTAACTCTTTCAAATAAATAAAACAAATCTTTAAAAAAAATTAAAAAGCATCTTAGAAGGAGCAAATATTCACTTTCTAGGATTACCTTTAATCTTTTTTTTATTTTTTATTTTTTTATTTTTTTAATTTTTTGACAGGCAGAGTGGACAGTGAGAGAGAGAGAGACAGAGAGAAAGGTCTTCTTTTGCCGTTGGTTCACCCTCCAATGGCCGCCGCGGCCAGTGCCCTGTGGCCGGCGCACCGCGCTGATCCGAAGCCAGGAGCCAGGTGCTTCTCCTGGTCTCCCATGGGGTGCAGGGCCCAAGCACTTGGGCAATCCTCCACTGCACTCCCAGGCCACAGCAGAGAGCTGGCCTGGAAAAGGGGCAACCGGGACAGAATCTGGCGCCCCGACCGGGACTAGAACCTGGGGTGCCAGTGCCGCAAGGCGGAGGATTAGCCTAGCGAGCCACGGCGCTGGCCTGATTACCTTTAATCTTGAGTTATCTCTGATTCTGCTCTTAAATTAATGTAATATATTGTTGTCTCCATCTGAACAGCTTGGGAATTTGTATTTTTCATCTAAATAACTAGGGAAGAACACTTTTGATGACTGAGGCCACTTGCTTCAGCTTCTTTGCATCTCAGTTTCCCCATCTCTAAAACAGAAATAACAATTTTTTTTATTCATTCAACTAATATCTGTGTCACATGATCATCTGACAAATACTTACTGCACTTGCATGTTCAGAAGGTGCTGAGTTACAAGTTTATAGCTTAAACTTTAAAAGAAGAGCTAGATAATAAATATAAATCCATAATTAAAGTATCAGATATTGGTAAATACAATGAACAAAGTTAAGTCTTTATAATAGGTAGAAAGTGTTGGGGAGGGATGGAGGGAGGCACAAACGAATGGGGTGGCCACCTAATCAGGGAAATGCTCTTTGAGGAGCCAGCACCTGCTTAGATCTTGCCTTGGTTTAAATATAGCTCCCTAAATTCTTCGGTTGGAAACTTAATCCCAAATTAACAGTGTTTAGAGGTGATTAGCTCATGAGGGCTCTGCTCTCAAGAACGGATGAATGCCATTATTGCAAGGATGGGTTAGTTATCACGGGAGTGGGCTGTTGCTAAAAAGAGAAGTCCACCACCACCCCTTGACTTCCCATGTGCACCCCTGTCCTGCTTTCCACCATGGGACAGTGAAGCAAGAAAGCTTTCCCTAGGCACAGGCCAGAACTATCAGAAATAAATATCTTTCAGCTATAAATAATTTTTAAAAGCTATATTCATTCTGTCATCTATTTGAAAGGCAGAGTGACAGAGAAAGGGAGAAAGAGAGACAGATCTATCAACCACCCACTAGTTCATTCCCCAAATGCTATAAAAGCCAGGGGTAGGCCAGGTAGTAACAAGGAGCTGGGAACCCCATCCAGGTCTCCGCAGTGGGGAGCAGGAACCCAAGTACTCGGGTCATCTTCTGTGGCCTCCCAGGTGCACTAGCAGGAAATTGGATCAGAAGCAGAGGCAGAGCTAGAAGCAGGCATTCCAATATAGGATGCAGACAACCTGAGCAGTGGTTTAACCTGCTGTGCCACAAGGCTTGTCCATATAAATGAATTTATAAATTACCCAGCCTCAGGATGCTCTGTTATAGCAGTACGAAAATAAACTTTGATAGCCAAGTAATGAGCAGATATGGTAGGAGAAGAGCATTAGTGTCCCAGGTAGGGAAAAGTCCTGAGACAGGAAAGAGTCTGGCATTTCTAAGACCAGACAAAAGCTGAATCCTGAAGATAGATCCTAGTGGAAAAAAAGGGAGACTGTTTGATAGTAGAAAGAGGTTTGTGGGAGAGCCAGGTTATTAGGTTAGGGGTTACTGGGAGAGGCAGGCAGGGCCTTGTAAGTATGATAAGGATATTATTTGATATTATTCTAATTGCCATGGAAGATATAAACAGCTCCAAACAAGGAACTGATGCTGCATAATTTATATTTAAAATGATTTCTCTGCATAAATAACCAGGCAAAAGTAATGATAGGAAACTAGATTTGTTACAGTCAATTATGTTCCTATAGATCAATAACAGATAAGTTTAAACTATAATTTAAAAGATATCATTGGGGCCGGCGCTGTGGTGTAGCAGGTTAAAGCCCTGGCCTGAAGCACTGGTATCCCATTGGGTGCTGGTTCTAGTCCCAGCAGCTCCTCTTCTGATTCAGCTCTCTGCTGTGACCTGGGAAAGCAGTGGAAGATGGCCCAAGTCCTTGGGCCCCTGCACCCATGTGGGAGACCCAGAAGAAGCTCCTGGCTCCTGGCTTTGGATCGTAGTAGCTCCAGCCATTGCAGCCATCTGGGGAGTGAACAAGCAGAAGGAAGACCTGTCTCTCTGTCTCTACCTCTCTGTAACTCTGTCTTTCAAATAAATAAAATCTTTTTTTTTTTTTTTTAAGGCAGAGTTACACAGAGAGACAGAGAGACAGGTCTTCCTTTTCTGTGGGTTCACTCCCCAAATGCCCGATATGGCTGGAGCTATGCTGATCCGAAGCCAGGAGCCAGATGCTTCTTCCTGGTGTCCCACGCAGGTGCAGGGCCCAAGCACTTGGGCCATCCTCCACTGCCTTCCCGGGCCACAGCAGAGAGCTGGATTGGAAGAGGAGCAACCAGGAAAGAATCCAGCACCCCAACCGGGACTAGAATCTGGGGTGCTGGTGCCGCAAGCGGAGGATTAGCCAAGTGAGCCGCGGCGGCCGGCCAAAATAAATCTTTTAAAAACAGATATAATTTACAAAAGCAACAACAACGATACACATAGGAATAAATTTAACAAAAGAGCATAAAGGTCATTACAGAAGTCATAAATGTTTTGGGAGACATTAAAGTAAACCTAAGGTTAGTCTGCTGGTGCAGCAGTTAAGACACTATTTAGGATGCCCATGTCCCATAACAAGCGCCTCCCCTGGAGTCCTGCCTCTGCTCTCAATTTCAGCATCCTGCCAAGGTGCACTCTGGGAGGCAGCAGATGATGGTTCAAGTAGTTGGGTCTCTGTCACTCACATGGAGACCTGAACTGAGTCCCATGCTCCTGGCTTCAGCCTTTGGGAAGTGAATCAGCAGATGGTAGGTCCCTCTCTCTCTCTCTCTCTCCCTCCCCCCCCCCTTTCTCTCTCTCTCATCCTTTCAAATACAATTTTTAAAAGTACACAAAGTAGGTCTAAATTAATAAAGATATACCATGCTCATGAGTGGGAAGGCTTGATATCAAGATCTCAATTTTCTCCAAAGGATGTGATAAATAAAGCGCAATTCAATTTAAAATCTTGAGTTTTTCTTTTTGCTTGTTTGTTGAGTTCAAGAATATAATTCATGTGGAAGAACAAGGGGGTAAAAAGAACTAAGTCAATTTTGAATTTGAATTGAGATACAGAGAGAGAGCTCCTATCCACCAGTTCCCTCCTCAAATTCCTGAGCAGTTGGAAGTGGGAAGCCAGGAGACAGGAACTCCATCCGGTCTCCCATGTGGGTGGCAGCAACCCAAGTAACTGAGTTATCACCACTGTTTCCCAAGGTCTGTAGTAGCAGGAAGTTTTATTGTTTTTGAGATTTTTCAATTTTGCCAGGTACAACTTTTTTTTAAAAGATCAATTAATTAATTAATTAATTTGAAAGTCTAAGTTACAGAGAGAGAGAGAGAAATCTTCCATCTGCTTATTCACACCCAGATGGCCGTATGGGTCAGGGCTGGGCTAGGCTGAAGCCAGGAGCTTCATCCAGGCTTCTCAAGGGGGTTAGCAGGGGCCCAAACACTTGAGTCATCTTCTACTGTTTTTTCCAGGACATTCACAGGGTGCTGGATTGGAAGTGGCGCCCCAAGACTCAGATGGGTTCCCCATATGTGATGCTGGTGTTGCAGGGTGGTGGCTTATACCTGCTACGTCACAACACTGGCCCTGGAAGTTTTATTTTTTAAAAACATTTATTTACTTATTTGAAAGGCAGAGTGACAGAGAAAAAGAGAGAGAGAGAGAGAGAGAAAGAGAGAGAGAGAGAGAGAGAAAGGGAGAGTTCATTTGCTGGTTCCCTCCCCAAATGCTCATAACAACCAGGCCAAAGCCAGGAGCCTGAAGTTGCATCCGAGTTTCTCACTTGGTGGCAGGGACCAAGCACTTGGGCCATCAGTCACTGCATCCCAGGGTGTGCATTATCAGGAAGCTGGGTTGGGAGCCGAGGAGCCTGTAACCTGCACTTTGATGCAGGAGTCCCAGGCGGCAGCTAAACCTGGGGCTTGGTTTATTTTTTTAAAGCTAGGTAGGTGGCAGGTATATGATTGTTTTATCATTGACTTCTTTAAAAATGAGAAACATTTCCTAACAATTTTTTAAAAAGAGAAAAATCACTCTAGCATATAAACTAAAGAACGAACTCCCAGGGGTTAAGACTGGAAGGCTACGCTTTAGAAAACTGCTGTAGACTCTAATATCCAGCAGTTTCTGGCACACAGTAGGTGTTTCACACATAGGAACTATTGTGGTGGTAGTTATTGTTACTGTCATTGTCATCATCAATGTAAAGACCAAAGACACAGGGGGAATGTTGAGGAAAGATAAACTAAATGTTTGAGTAGCTCTTCTGTGCTAAGTGCTTTATCTCTTTTTGTTTTGTATAGATTCTAGCTGAGGCCCCTATAAAGAAACTAAAGTTCACAGAAGCAATAGCCGGGAGCCCAACGGCTACGTGGATTTCTAATGACTCACTGCACAGCGTTGTTTCCAATACATACACAGATACACATTCAAAAAATAGCACACCTCTTGCTCACAAGTAACACACTCCTCTGAAAAAATGCAAACACCTTTTCCCTTTGATTCACAAATAGCAGATTTTGAGTCAAATATTAATAATTCCACACATCATATGCTTAGACAATGCCTTATTGTCTTTGGGTGCCTCTCCATTTTTCATCTGCCTTTCCTAATTCCTCTGATAATGGCAGGGCAGTTGATTACACCTACTATACAAACATACAAAAAGCCCAAGTTGGATATTGTTAACCTGGTGTCTGTGAACTTCATGAAAAACCTCTGTGAAACAGTTGACGATTTGAATGAGTCAGACGATTTGAATGAGTCAAACGATTTGCCTAAAAGCTGAGGCCCCAGGGTCCCGTGGAATCCAAACCCTAAGCACTTTCTCCCTAGTGCAAGCCCAGGGTTAGGTTCCTTACAGTCTATAGCCTTAACACTCACATTATAGATACTATGAAATTCCTTTTGGTCAAGGTTGGTGGCTGCTAAGAGAGAAACGTTACTAACTACACTGGAACTGGAACGTCTTCGGAGGAATCCCTGCGTTTTGTTTGGGTGTTGGGCTGTCATGGTGATCCGCGAACATGTCAAGAACCGGTGTCTTGACAAGCCCTAGCGCAGACCTGCTGGGCAGGGAGAGACTCGGATGCGGCAAGTATTAACACGCCTTGCAGTCCGCATGCTCTGGGATCCGCATAAACCCGGGACCCAGCTTGATCTAGGCTGGGAAGCTCCGAGAGTGGGATTTCCAATTCTCCTAGGCCGGTGTCTTTCGCATCTCCGGAATTCGCGTCTCACAATTCTTCCAGCCCTAACACTGGCTGGAGACTGGATGGCTGGGACGGAAAATAGGAAGCACCCCTGGAGTTGGGGGTATGGACTCTGGAAGCACTCTGTTAACGTGCGCCCTATTTTTTATTTGAGAAAGGCCGCCAGCGTCCAGGGTGGGTCGCGAGGGCCCACTCGATCTGCAGGCTTCTTTCAGGAGATACCAGGCAGGGGGAAAGCCAGGCAGGGCCAACGGGCCCGCGGGGCTGCACACAGGTCTCGCCATCCCTGCTCAGGAATGAAGGCAGGCGGGAACGCCCCAACGCTGCGGGCGCGAAGGCGTCGGCTTAAACCGGGTGCACTGTGTGAACAGCGCTAGGACCGGGGCCCAGAGCCGGGGACGGCCGAAAGGGCTGGCAGCTACCCGCAATCCTCCTCCCCAAGGCTGGGCCGCTGACAGCAGGAGGCGGGACCACCTCTGAGAACTTCCCGATTCCGGCCGACCACGTGACCCAGCGCCGGGGCGGGGAGAGGCGCGCCCCGCCCCCTGCCCGCCCAGCGCGCACGCGCGTGGCTCCGGGCGCTGAAATTCAAATTTGAACGGCCGCAGGAGGCCTAGTCTGACACTGGAGGCTGAGGGGAGAGGAGGGCTGGCTGTGGGAGAGGTCTCCCACACCCCGGATTCCTGGTTTTCTTCAGGAGACACACTGAGTGCAGACTCACTTCCTTTCTTTTCCTGACTTTGAACCACCGTTTCCATCGTCTCGTAGTCGACACGTGACGGCTGGGGCGATGGACCCGTTTACGGAGGTGAGAAAATCTGCGGGCACAGCCGACCATGACCCTTGTCGGCCCCCACCCTGCCCACTTTGCCGGCCTCGGGGCCCACGGGGCCGAGAGCGCGTGCGCGCGCGTGCGCAGTGGGTGCGCGCGGGGGTCCGGCGCCCTGCGGGTGGGGAAGCGTCGCGAGGGGTGGCGGTGGTCCTCTGCTCTGTGTCTGGGGTGTGTCTGCGACTCTGTTGTCCCTGCCCTACAGGTGAAGCTGTGAGAGAAACACTTCCGTCCGAACAGGCGGTGTAAAATCGCTCGTGGCAGCCCCGGTTCTTGTAATTCCTCTCCGGAGCTCGATTGCCCGGACCCCTGCCCCGGGACGGAGGCGTGGGGGCCGGTGGAGTCCCGCTGCAAAAAGCCGGAATCCTTGCGGGGTGGAGTCGGGTGCCCAGTGACTCAGTGCAGCCGCCGCCTGGAAATCGGAGGTGGGGAGGGAGGGTTCTTGCATTTAGGACGCTGCTAGGGGGATGACAGCAAGAAGTTCAAATAAGCGGGTGCTGGGAACCGTTGCATTGGCTCCTTCAGACCCCCGTGCGCGGCTCCCTGGGATGGACACTTGTAGGGAAAGGAGTGCTCGCCGGCCGACTGTGTAGGAACCAGAATCGTCAGGCCACCATTTAGAAACCCGGAGTCCAATAAAGCTTCCATGTAGTTCCAGGAGTGCTGAACTTCATCTTTGTTCCTTGCAAACTGGGTGTGCGTTGCTTCGTCATCGGGTCGTTTCTTTCTCCCGGTTTCTGCTCACTGAGAACGGACCGTGACACTTGCGGGAGTCCCCAGCCAGTCCTCCGCACCCGCCCTGCGTTCCAGGGCGGTTCCTCTTTCTTTAGGGTGTTGTGAAAGTTTCAAACGGCTCGTTTTTGAGTTGCTGCCCAGTGGGCCTCGTAGTGCCTATATTCGAAAACGTAAAAACTGCGAAGGATAGAAATACTTCCCTTTGGAGGAGATGTAATTACAATTCCGTAAGTTCAGGGTAATACAGTAGAGGTTTCAAAAATCACTTGTATTCCAACACAACAGTCGCCTGTTCTGTTGCAAAGTCTCAGTCATCTTGGGAAAAGCATCAGTTTCTTCACCTTAAGATTACAGAAAAATCTAGAACATATTTTTGTGTTAGCTTTAAACAGTAGGACAGGTGATCTGCACAAAGTGCCTGGCGCTTACATTGAAGTTAAAAAGGATGTATTCTTTTGTATTACTAATGCAGAACAGGATTCCATACAACGTTAACCGTGTGTGTTGTCCTAAGTAGTTGTCAGGAAAGCAGCATTTTGAAAGTTGGCTGAAAACAGTACTTCATTATACTTAGAAATGTCATCCTGAAGCTAGTACGGATCTTGGAAGAAACTTCTCCTGTTCAAATCGTTTTAACATGTGCTTACAAATACATATGGCTTAATATGCATGATTTATATTATGAAAAATTAGATCAGTTACAGTTGGAGTAAACAGCTTCAACATCTTTTCCTTAATTGGTAATGAGTGAGCCATTTGAATTGGTCCCAGCTAGTAGATGCTTAATTATAGCTTTCATAAAATTTTTTGCACAGTGAAATGAGTTGCGGGTACAGTTTTTTTTTTTTTTTTAAGATTTATTTATTTATTTGAAAGGCAGAGGCAGAGAGAGACAGAAAAATCTTCTATCCAATGGCTTACTTCCCAAATGACCAGAGTGGCTGGAGCTGCACCACTGATCTGAAGCCAGGAGTCTGGAGCTTCTTCCAGGTCTCCCACATGGGTGCAGGGGCCCAAGGACTCAGGTCATCTTCTACTGCACTCCCAGGCCATAGCAGAGGACTGGATCAGAAGTGGAGCAGCCGGGACTTGAACCGGTACACTGGTGTAGTTGTTTATCTGAAAGGATTGAAAATCAGTGTAAGATGACTTTCTCCCCCAGGGTTCCTTTACAGAACTATGCAATACGGAAAAAATATTTGAGAGGTTGTTTTCTCAATTCTTCCAAGGGTGATTCATAATCAGTGTCATATCACAAACTTAGGAAATAACTCATTACAATTTCCAGAGCATTAAGATTTATTTCTCTTGGTAACTCTGGTTGGGAAGGGCTGCAATCATTTTTTTTTTTTTTAATATTGGTTGCTGCTTTATTTACCAAAGGTGCCAGCCCAGCGCAGGCTCTAGCAGCCAGGCCAGTGGCTGGCCATGGGCGTCCAGCTCAGTCTTCCAAGGGTGAGGCCTGGCAGGGAGCCTCACTGTGGGGGTGTGGGGGGCAGTGTTCCCTCCCCGGTGGTGGGGGGGTGTTGGCAGCCAGGCTGGGCAGTGGGTGCTGCGGGGCTGCAATCATTCTAAATTCTCTTTTCCTCAAACAAGACTGTCCTGCATTCCTTCTTTTCCCTGCTGTCACTGCTGCTATCTGGTACATTGTCCCTCTCCCTCTTTTGGCTGGCGAACTTGGATTTGACCTCCAGCTCATAGTTGATCTTCAGAGGGGCTCACCTTTTGCAGTGTTCATCGCACTTGTATTTACCTGTTGAACATGTTTCCTGCTGAAATGTGATCTTCATAAAGGTGGAGACTGTTTTCAGAGATACTTTCCCTAATGTCAAGTACATCTCATAACATTTTACTGAATCAACATAGCAGGAAGCAATTAAGTCTGAATTATTTTACAATTACACACAACAATAACTTTTAGAACATTGTAGAATTTTTTTAATTGAAGAGAATTTTGAAATATTTTAGGCAAGTTTAATACCCCTCATTCACCTACCACCCAGTTCTTATAGTTATCAACAAGTAGCCATTATTATTTTATGATATCCCCTTCTTACCCATACCTCCATAAACATTATTTCATAAGTGCTTCAGGATTTACCACTAAACACTGACTTTTTTGCAAAACAAAATCACAATGCCATTATCACACCCAGAAAATTAAAATTTATTAATATCATCAGTATTCTGTCAATGCTCAGATTTCCACAAATGTCTCATGTGTTTTTGTACTTTATTTGTGGACCAACCAGAAATAACAGAAGAATCCCTTCCTGCCAACTCATGGACTGATGAGCAGTTGAGGCACATATCTATTATGATCAGCTGAGAGCATTAGAAAAGTTTTATTGATGTTGTGAAGTTAGTTCTTATAAACAGCCTCTGGATTTAGCTAAGAGATAGTTTATAGTAAAATTGTTAAGGGCTCAGACTTGTTAACTTGGGTTCAACTTTTAGCTCAGTGGCCTCGTCTATAAAACAGTAGTTGAGAGGCCTGTGTTGTGGCGCAGTGGGTTAAGCTGCTGCCTGTGATGCCTTGCTAGAGCCCTGATTTGACTTCCAGTCCAGCTCTACTAAGCAGCCAAAGCTGGCCCAAGTGCTTAGACCCCTGCCACCCACATAGGAGACCTGGATGGAGTTCTAGTCTCCTGGCTTTGGCTTGTCCCAGCCTCCACAGTTTTAGCCATTTGGGGAGTGAACCAGCAGATGGAAGATCTCCTTCTCTGTCTCCCCTCACTGGCTTTCAAATAAATAAATAAATCTAAAAAACAAAAAAAGTAGTAGAAACAGAACCTCCCAGGTAAGGTTTTGAGAATGGAATAAATTAGTCTCTGCCAGATACTGAAAGTCCTTTTGTATTAAGTCCTGTGTAATTATTAGTGATTGTTATAATTCTTAGTTGAATTCAAGCTATCTGGGTGTTGGTTTGTGTCTGGCTGTTCCACTTCCTATTCAGCTCCCTGCTAATGGCCTGAAAGCAGTAGAAGATGACCCAATTGCTTGGACTGCTGCCACCGATGTGGGAGACCTGGATAAAACTCCTGGCTGCTGCCTTTGGCCTGGCTTAGCCCTGACTGTAACTGCCAGTTGGGGAGTGAACAGAAGACTGCTGTCTCTGTCTCGAACTCTGATTTTCAAATGAATAAATACATCTTTAAAAAATATATATTTTAAAAAAGCCTCTTAGTTTGAAATCTGCTCATGGATAAGTGTCATCGCATGCTATAATAGAAAAGGGAAACCCAGAACTAAATGGACATGTCAGAGCTTTCTATATTGGAAACTTAAAGGAGAAAAAGCTACAATTAAAATACTTTCTAAAAGAATATTTTATGATGAGATACCTTTAATCCTTTTGTGCATGAGGCTGGATATAAACAAATAGTGTTTGTTTTGGATGGGTTTCTCTTATTTTCTATTTTCTAGAATTTAACAAAAGTATCTATTGACCTGGGAGAAGCTACTACTTCCTGATAAGCACCACTTACATTTTTTTGAGTTCTTGAATTTACATACTTTAGATAATTATTTTTTAAAATTAATAATCTTTGGTGCTTATTAGCTTTATATTACAGATTAGGGGACTTTTATTTTGCTTATCTCCTTTTTAAATTTGGAATTTTGAAATCTCATGTCAACAGTAGAACACTTGTATATATTTGAATGGCAAATCCACATTCTTTTGTGGTGACCCATTGCTCATGGTAACTGAAACTACAATGACTCACAAGTCTTCTAACTGATGGGAATGGAATGTGGGCATGACCATGAATGAATATAACTAGGCTGGTTTTATGTCTAAGGAGTGATAGATTTTATCATGGGCGAGTTACCAGACATAAATGAATTTGTGTAGCAATATGATCACCTTTGAGTGTGTTGAAGGAGACTTTTATTCACAAGGTTAAAGTCCTATTTTGGAAGGCCTCTGGCTCATAAATTACTCTTTCAGTGACATAGCATTTTTTTGGTGTTATTTCTTAAAGTGAACTTTAAATTAGAAGTCATTCCTAAGATGATTAGAGTTATACCTAATCACAAATTTAGCTTATGCTTCTTTTGCATACTCAGAAGACTTTTTAAAAGTTACTGTATTTTTTAAAGATTTATTTATTTGAAAGAGTGAGATTGAGACAGAGAGAAAGAGTGAGATCTTCTATCAGCTGGTTCATTCCCTGGATGGCCTCAATGGCCAGGTCTGTACCAGGCCAAAGCCAGGAGCCAAGAGCTTCATCTGGGTCTCCCACATGGGTGGTAGGGGTCCAGACACTTGGGCCATCTTCTGCTTTTCTCAGGTTTTTAGCAAGGAACTGGATTGGCAATGGAGCAGTTTGGGATGCAGGCATCTTAGGTGACCGCTTAATCCACTACGCTACAATGCCCAGGCCCTTGTTATTCTGTTTTAATTAAGGAATTAAAAGTGGCCAAGTTGAGGTCAATTTCTCAGTTTGCACTAACTACTGTATCTCTCTGTGTAAGGCAGTAATAATAATCTGTATTCTTTCCGTGGTTGTGTTCATTTGAAAGAGAATAAATTGTTTCAGAGGGGCCTGTATGTGAATTTACTACATTGCTTGCAACAGCAGTATCAGTTGATTAAGTTTAAGAAAAGTATTCATGAATTTGTAGAATGGTTAAACTTTGAACTTGAAACTGTTTTGTTAAATATTGGTAGTAAAGAAACCATGATTGTTTAATTTTGTTTTCTTCTCAGGATGTTTCCTATATTTTTCAAAGGAATGAAACATTCATCATCTCTTGCTTCTTGCCAACCACCACAAGTCATGGTGGCAATATTAGTTATGCTGCAATAATAAATGACTTAAACTTAGTGGCTTAAAATAACACCTATCTATTTCAGTTCTGTAGGTCAAAAGTCTGAAATGCATTTTATTAGGTGTCAGCAAAATTTCTTTCCTTCTGTAGGTTCTAGAGGAAAACTCTTTCCTTGCCTTTTCCAGCTTCTAAAGGCCACTTGCATTCGTTGACTTGTGGCTCCTTTCTCCATCTTCAAAGCCACCAATCACATCACTGTGACTACCGCGTTCTACTCTGTATCTTCCTTCACTCTGACCTTCTTGCCTCCCTCTTTTCCCTTATAAGGACCATTGTGATTATATTGGGCCAAAACAAGTAATCTAGGATAACCTCCATCTCAATATTCTTAATCACACCACACTGGCAAATTCCCTTTTGCTATCTTAGGTAAAAATCAAAGATCAGGGGATTAGGGCATAACTGTTTTTGGGAGGCCATTATTCTTCCAAACATAATCACTTAACAGTCACTTTATTTCCCATGATTCAGTGGGTCAGCACTTTGTGTTGGGCTCAGGTGTGCTATTCATCCGCTTGTCTCCCCTGGGGTCATGCAGGAGCTTTCATGATCTGGAAAATAATCTGGGGCTGGATGGGCTAAGGTGACCATGTCTGATAGTTGGTGCTGGCTGTCAGTGGGGCCACAGTGTTCTACAGGAGGGAAAGTAGAAACTGCAAAACTTCTTGAGACCTGGGATTGGAAGCCACACAGTATATCACTTCTGCTGTATTTTATTTTCAAAGCAAATCACAAGACCCACCCAGATTCAATGATAAGGAAATAGATTCTATCCTTTAATGGGAGCAGAAATCTCTGTGACCAGAGATTGGTGCTGTGATGTAGCAGGTTACACCGCAGCCTGCAAAACTGGCATCCCATACGGATTCTGGTTCAATTCCCAGCTGCTCCATTTCTGATTCAGCTCCCTGCTGATGTGCCTGGGATAGTAGCAGAAGATGGCTCAAGGACTTGGGCCCCTACACCCATGTGGGAGACCCAGATGAAGCTCCTGGTTCCTAGCTTTGGTCTGGCTCAGCCCTGGCTGTTGAGGCCATCTGGGGAGGGAACCTTTCTCTCTATAACTCTCACTTTCAAATAGAATAAATAAATCTTTTAAAACAATAAGAACCTGTGGGCCATTTCAAATCTTACATAACTGTGTTGATATGTTTTACTGTCCTTTTAATATTCTTGTTGAATCTGTAATGATTTTGACATTGAAGTGATCGTTTGGTGAATCTTACTTACCTTAATTACTTAGGGTCTCACTTTTGAAATGAATAACTGTTTTCCTACGTGATACTTGGTGATTTTAGAACATTCTTGAAATTTTGAGAACCTTGGAGTAAGCTGTGTCTTAACACTCTGTTAAATTATATACATGTAGAAACTGCTTGAACGAACCCGTGCCAGGCGAGAGAATCTTCAGAGAAAAATGGCTGAAAGACCCACAGCAGCAGCAAGGTCTGGGACACAAGCTAAACGGGCCAGAGAGCCGCTTTCGGAAGCTCGTAACCAGCAGCCTCTGTCTGGTGGTGAAGGTAAAACTCCTTGTGGGGGAAAAGTAAAATTTGCATTTTTTAAAGGAGATAAGCCCTAAACATTTCACTATGACTGCAAAAGAACCCATGGCTTTGGGAGACAAATGTAAGGCCCCTTGGGTTATAAGGCCTGAACCCATCAGGCTGCAACAGTTTCTTTTATCGAATATTTGAAATTAATTGATGGAATTTATTTTCTTCAATCCAAAGTTATCCTTAAAACCCCCAAGGGAAGAAAAATAAAGAGCAGGATAACACTTTACTGGCAGTGGTGTCAAGTTTTTCATCCCAGCAGCACCAGAATAGCTCACTGCTAAGGTCACATGAGGTCTCTCTCTCACTCTTTTTTTTTTTTTTTTTTTTTTTTTGAGATTTATTTGAAAGGCAGAGTTACAGAGAGGGAGTGGGGAGGGGAAGAGAGAGAAATCTTCCAACTGTTGTTCCTTCCCCAAATGGCCACAACAGTGGGGGCTGGGCCACGTGGAAGCCAAGAGCCTGGAAAACCATTTGAGTCTTTCAGATGGCTGGCAGGGGCCCAAGAACTTGTGCCATCTTCCCCAGGTGCTTTAGCAGGAAGCTAAATCAGAAGTGAAGCTGACAGGACTTCAACCCACACTCATGTGGGATGCCACCTGCTGCTTAACCTGCTGTACCACAGTGCCAGCCCCCACAAAGATCTGACCTGAGCAAGGCAATGAAAGACAGACTGCCCACAAACACTTGACATTGAATGAGACTTTTTCATCTAGTTTGCTGAACCAACTCTAGGGCTGGGCTCTAGGTTTAGCTTAGTAAGCTGCAAAAGAATTAAGCAAACAAAAGGCAAACTCAACTAGAATAATTTTTTGAAAAATGAGATGCCAGTATTTGTGAGAGAATGTTGTTTCCCTAGAATTTACTTATTTGAATAGGAATTATTGAGTTTGAGTCCCACCTCTGCTTCTCGTGTAGCATCCAGCTAGTGTGCCCTGGGAGGCAGTAGATGATGTCAGATGTTGGGGCCCTGCCACTCATACTGGAGACCCAGAATGAATTCCAGGCTTGTGGCTTTGGTCTGGCTCAGCCCTAGCTCTTGTGTGTACTTTGAGGAGTGAACCTGCAGATGTAAGATGTCTGTCTCTCTGCCTCTAAAATAAGTAAATAAATAAATAATTTAGAAAGTTACTTATTTGAGAGGCAGAGAGAATGCTTGTTCTGCCCTTGCCTCAGTTGTATGACTTTAGGCTGTAACTTAATTTCTTCAGGCTTGATTTGTCTTACTCAAAAGTAAAGTGATTGGGTAACATGATCTTTAAAAGCCTTTGGAATATTTGTTCTCTGTGTATGCATGTTTGTTTCCTATTATTTTAAGACTACATATGTTATTTTGCATATGTCTTGATAATGTTAGATTTCTTTTCATTAAAGTATTTAAACCATAAATTATGTTTTTTTTAAAAAAATCTTTTATCAGTTTTCTAAATTACTGATAGTGGAATTTTACATGTTGCTTTTTTTTTAAAAAAAATTATTTGTTTATTTGAAAGGCAGAGTTATAGACAGAGAGAGGGATCTTCCACCTGCTGGTTCGCTCCCCAAATGGCCGCAGTGGCCCAGGCTGGGCCAGGCCAATGCCAGGAGCCAGGAACTTCTTCCTGGTCTCCCACATGAGTGGCAGAGTCCCAAGCACTTGGGCTATCTTCTGCTGTTTTCCCAGGAGCATTAACAGAGAGCTGGGTTGGAAATGGAGCAGCGGGGACTCAAACCATCACCCATATGGGATGCTGGCGCTGCAGGTGGTGACTTAACCCAGTACACCACAGCACCAGCCACAAGAGTGGAGTTTAACATATTTCATGTTATAACTAAATCATTTAAAGCAATAGAAAAATACGATGTTTTGCTAATTTGTTAAGTACTTACCTCAAATTATTGATTCTGTTAGAAGTTACAGAACTTTGAATGTTTTTGTCTTTTTGATTTAGAAAAATCTTGTTCTAAACCATCACCATCAAAAAAACGCTGTTCCGACAGCACTGAAGGTAGAGTTTCTAACCTGGAAAATAGAGAACCTGTTGAGTCAGAGCCTGCAGTTTCTTCTCCCAGCCCTGTGTCTCCTCACCCAGCTCCACAAGCACCGGTTGATGTCAGTGAGAATGTGGCTCCCTCTTCTGCACTGCTGGGGGTGAGGAGAGGGCTAAACTCAAAGCTGGATGCCACTGCCAGCTCTTCAGTTAAAACACGGATGCAAAAACTTGCAGAACAGCGGCGCCACTGGGACAATAACGACATGACAGGTATGATTATGTGGGTGGCATGGTCCATAAATCTTCAGTGAGGTTTGATGTGGAGTGTTGAAAATTATGTCAGATACACAGGAAAGGTGGATGCTTTCGTTTGATCTATACTCGCAGGATCCTTCCCTTGCAAATGGTTTGAATGCCGGTAGTATGTGTGTGAGTTGTATTCTCATTGAAGTAGGTATTGTATTCACAGAACCTGAGATGACCTTATTTGTAATGAAAAAGAGCAGAGAAACATCTGTTCTCAGCATTATTAGCATTGTTGACCCTGAGCTCTATGTTCAAGAAATCATTTTTCATCGATTCACTAATTTAATAAGTGACAGACTTAGGTATGCAATGCTGTTCAGTAGAAGAGAGAAAAAAATGACGAAAAAGAAAAGAAAAGAAAGAAAGCATATATTGAGCATCTGCAAAGTGGGTTATGCTGTGGTCTGGAAACAGTGGAAGTGGCCTGATCCTTGCCTTCCCTTATCTCCTGCTTTGTTAAAATAAAAAGCCTTAAGGTAATTTTACAAGGATCCCTGTATTATAAGAAATAAAGAAAAAAGGAAATGTGGGTGAAGAAAAAATACAGGAAGGAGAAACAAACAAATGAAAGGTAAAGTTCGTTTTTTGTTTTTTTTTTTTAATTAAAGATTTATTTAGTTACACAGAGAAAAGGAGAGGCAAAAAGAGAGAGAGGTCTTCCATCCTCTGGTTCACTCCCCAGTTGGCCACAATGGCCGGAGCTGCACTGATCCAAAGCCAGGAGCCGGGAGCTTCTTTTGGATCACCCATGTGGGTACAGGTGCCCAAGGACTTGGGCCATCTTCTACTGCTTTCCCAGGCCATTGCAGAGAGCTGGATCGGAAGTGGAGCAGCTAGGTCTTGAACCGGCGCCCATATGGGATGCTGGCATTTCTTATTTATTTATTTATTTATTTTTTATTTTTTTGACAGGCAGAGTGGACAGTGAGAGAGAGAGACAGAGAGAAAGGTCTTCCTTTTGCTATTGGTTCACCCCCCAATGGCCGCTACGGCCGGTGCACTGCGGCTGGCATACCGCGGCGATCCAAAGCCGGGAGCCAGGTGCTTCTCCTGCTCTCCCATGTGGGTGCAGGGCCCAAGCACTTGGGCCATCCTCTACTGCACTCCCTGGCCACAGCAGAGAGCTGGCCTGGAAGAGGGGCAACCGGGACAGAATCCTGCGCCCCAACTGGGATCAGAACCCTGTGTGCCGGTGCTGCAGGCAGAGGATTAGCCTAGTGAGCCGCGGTGCTGGCCTGGGATGCTGGCATTTTAGGCCAGGGTGTTTCAGGCCAGGGCGTTAACCTGCTGCAGCACAGTGCTGGCCCCCACTTTTGGTACACTTCTGAAATGCCTGCAGCAGCCAAGACGGACCAGGTTGAAGCCAGGAGCCTGGAACTCCATTTGGACTTCCCACATGGGTGGCAGGGATCCTTCTACTTGAGCCATCATCTGCTGTATCCCAAGGTATACGTTAGTAGGAAGCTGGATTGGAAGCAGAGCAGCTGGGACTCCAAGTAGACCCTTCAATATGGGATGCAGGTGTCCTAGGCAACAACTTCTGGCGCAAATTCCCGCCCCTCTATTTTTATAGGAAATATCTATGGGTGGCAGAATACAAAGCTCATTCCATCTTGTTCTATTTGATTTTAAGAAATGAAAGTGAATAAAGTATAATAAAAATGATTTAGTGAATGTTAAACAGGACTGTGTATCTAAGTAAGTTAATTGTTTAAGAATTAACACTAAAGTATGATTTCTCCAAAACTTTTCTTTTTTAATGGAGAATTGTTTTTTGTTTTTGTTTTTGTTTTTTATTTAGTAAATATCAATTTCCAAAGTACAGTTTATGGATTACAATGGCTCCCCCCCCAATATTTCCCTCCCATCTCCCGCTCCCTCTCCCATTCCATTCATATCAAGATTCATTTTCAATTATCTTTATATACAGAAGATCGATTCAGTATATATTAAGTAAAGATTTCATCAGTTTGCACCCACACAGAAACACAAAGTGTAAAAATACTATTTCAGTACTAGTTATAGCATTACTTCACATTGGACAACACATTAAGGACAGATCCCACATGAGAAGTAAGTACACAGTGACTCCTGTTGTTGACTTAACAATTTGACACTCTTGTTTATGGTGTCAGTAATCTCCCTAGGCTCTAGTCATGAGTTGCCAAGGCTATGGAAGCCTTTTGGGTTCGCTGACTTTGATCTTATTCCTACAGGGTCATAGTCAAAGTGGAGGTTCTCTCCTCCCTTCAGAGAAAGGTACCTTCTAATGGAGAATTGTTAGAAGAGCTAAAGATCTGTTAAGCCCATTCCTAAAACATGACATTGAAACTGTCATCTGCTTAGAGGACAGTGCTCATTCTAAGGGAATTGATAGAGGTGTATGAAAGGTAGGCAGTTAGGGAAGCTTTTCTGGGGGAAGGCAGGGATTTCAGATAATTCAGACAGAATAAAACAGTATTCATCAAAAGCACAGAGAAGTGATAACATGAACATAGTATGAGTATAGAGCTGGTATGCTGGCATGCAGTGTGCATGGTAGAAAAGCAGAGGAAACAGATAACAACAACAACAACAAACAGTAGGGTCCAGACTGACATTTAGCCAGGGTATGATAGGGAGGTCCTGAGAGGGTTAAAAGCAAGCAAATGTTTTACAAAGATCATTGTGGAATTGAGGAGGGATAGGACGGGGGAGAGATTTGAAGCAGGAAGATCAATTAGAAGGCAAATATAATATAGGTAATCAATGACTAAGGCCACTGGAAGTGAAGGGGAGAAGCTAGATTTGAGAGATTTAGGAGAAACAATCTGTAAGGCATACTGAGTGGATAGTGGAGGATGAGAGAGAGGCCAGATTTTTGGCCCCAGTGACTAGGTGAAGTCACTTACTAAGATGACATAGAATATGGCGGGAGCTGTTTCAACTACAGATATGTTATTTGGGATGCCCTTGTGAGAACCAAATTGAGGAAGTTGGGAGACCATGAAAGATAAGGCAACAGAGAGGGAAGGACTAGTAGAGATCAGTGGCAGAAATGGAAAGGGAGTGATGTATTTTCGAGAAGCAGAGAAACATAAGGCCTACACTGGCATCAAGTGACAATAGCAAGAGCAACTTCAGGCCAATGCTACAGGCAAAAGGCCAGTTGAGTGAATTGAGTAGTGAGTGAATATTGTGCAGGATGCACAATAGCTAAAGAGGATGAATGTGGGTAAGAGGATGTTTCTGTTTATTTTTAAGATGAGAAGGACTCGAGCATACTTATGTTCAGAAAGTCGAGTTTTTGTAGAAAAGGAAAGGGGGTTATTTAGAGCAAGATCTCTGAGAGTATTTTGGAGAACATAGAGTTGAAAATTCAGATAGAGGTAGAAGCTTTGGACAGAAGGAAAATTACCTCTTCCTTACTGAGTTTGTAGATAGGAAATGGCACGAATCTTGTCCTCACTATATACGTATTTTATTTGAATACAGGGCTAAATCTTTTGTCAGTTAAGTATCACCTTTTGGGATTTCTCTCCAAATGAAGTAGCTCTGCAGAAAAACATTTGATTTAGTCTAACTCTGTTATCCAAACAGTACTACAGGTTCTTTCTCTGTAGCTATTTAAGTTTAAATTAATTAAAATGAAATATAATTTAGTTTATCAGTTGCTCTTGCCACATTTTGTGTGCCTACATGTGTCTAGTGTCTACTGTATTGAACATCACCATCTTTGTATGAAGTTTTGCTGTACAGCACTGGTTTAATTCACTTTTTTTTTTTTAAGATTTATTTATTTATTTGAGAGGCAGAGTTACAGACAGAGAAAGGGAGAGGGCGAGGGAGAGACAGAGAGAGAGGTTTTTCATCTGCTGGTTCACTCCTCAGATGGCTACAACAGCCAGAGCTGGGCTGATCCGAAGCTGGGAGCCAGGAGCTTCTTGGGTCCCTGAGCCATCTTCCACTGCTTCCCCAAGCACATTAGCAGGGAGCTGGAATTGGAGGTTGAATAGCCAGGACTGGAATCAGCATCCTTGTGAGATGCAGGCGTTCCAGGCGGAAGCTTAACCTACTATGCCTCAGTGCTGGCCCCCTAATTCGCTTTTAAAACAAAGAGTTCCTGTGAGGTATGTAATCTTAAATTGTGCAGTGTTATATCACTGTGTAGTAGTTCTAAAAATGTAACTTCGATGTATGGTGTCTTACAACATTCACAATCCATCAAAAAATTGAAAAAATCTAGCTGTAATAGTGCTTTCTTGTTAAGTTTGGGTTGGGTGTCATCTGTTTGAAAAGATACTGTCATGTTGCACTCGGAGCTTTTAAAATATTCTATTTGGAGTTATCCTATTACTATACATATGTATATCTCTTTAACATGGTTTTAAACTTTTTTTCTGAAAACATTTTCAGATGATGTCCCTGAAAGCTCACTCTTCACACCAGTGCCATCAGAGGAAAAGGCTGCCTCCCCTCCTAAGCCTCCCCTTCCAGACACCTCAGCAACCCCAGTGGGGAGAAGGGGCCGTCTGGCCAACCTTGCTGCAACTATTTGCTCCTGGGAAGATGATGTAAATTACTCATCTGCGAAACAAAACAATGTACAAGAACAGCCTGGTACCACTTGTTTATCCAAATTTTCCTCTGCAAGTGGAGCATCTGTTAGGATCAATAGCAGCAGTGTTAAGCAGGAAGCTACATGCTGTTCCCAAAGGGATGGCGATGCTTCTTTGCATAAAGTCCCATCCTCTGTTGCTCCTGATGCATCTTTGGCTAATGCCTCAGTTTCTAGCTCTGTGGTAAGTAAGAATATTTTTGTCTTTGGAAACCTTTTGTGTTGTTGTTATGAATGGTAATGATTACACATGAATATAGGTATGTGTTTTATAATATATGTATAGGATTTTTATATGTATTTTTAGAATATTAGTGTCTTAGAAAGTGAAAATCATAAATCTGATACTCTATCTCAAGATTAACTAGCAGTTGACCACTGAATTTTAATGCAAATGCAAAGTACACAATAATAGGATGGCAGCGTTACTTTTTGGTCATCAAGGAAAGCAGTGAAAATGAATACCTCCATCATGAGGCTTTATAAACATGTATAAACATAAGAAACTGATATTTCTGAAAAGACATAATAAACTAGTGGCTGTTTACCTCCAGGATGGCAAATTGCCAGATAGAGTGCCAGGAATGGAATTATACTTTCACTGTGTGGCTCTTTGAAATATTTGAAAATTTTACTTTATGCATGTTCTACATTACCAGTTTTTATAAACATTCTTAAAAAAAGGGCCGGGGTCAGGGGAAGAGGGGGAAGAGTGTTGTGTTCCCGACCCTTGTCTTTTGGTGTATGCCCAGGCTTTGGACTTAGATCTTCATTCAATCTCAGCTTTGCCACATAGTTGGAAGTGTGGCTTTGGACAAGTTAATACAGCAAAGCTTTTATTTATTTATTTATTTATTTATTTAACATGAAAAATGGGAAAAAAGGGTTATTGAGATGGTGTAACGAAGGTCATGTGCATAGAGCCCTTAGCAGAGTGCCTGTCTATGTTGTAAGTACCTAGTGATTTATTATAATTAGCTATGAAGTACATAATATTGCAGGTTGAGCAGCGTCCCCAATTTGAAAATCTGAAATGTTCCAAAATCTGACTCTTTTTGACATAACACCAACATGACACCACATGTAGAAATTCTATACTGTGAAACTTTGTTTCGTGTTCAAAATTTCTATAATTATAAATTCTATTATATAAAATTACATTAAGGCTATGTTTCTGCAGTATATATCGAACATACACAAATTTCATGTTTAGACTAGGATCTCATCTCTATGATATCTCATTATGTAATGTTTTCTAAAATCCAAAATCTAAGGCACTTCTGAATCTATGCATTTCAGAAAAGGATACTCAACCTGTATCTTGTTAGGTTGATGTTGAATTAAACTACTAATAAAATGCAATTTGGTCTAATATAGTTAAAAATTTAATGAAGGTATTAGTGTAATAATATGGAAAACATTTTTAATAGAAAGTGGCCTACCCCTAATAATTACCCATCAATACATTATGCAGACTAAACTACTTATTATAATTTAAATAATAGCATTTTCTAAGTTGATTTTCCCCCTGCCTTTCAAATTAGTTTGATTTATTAGAGTAAGAATATAAGTCTTACATAAAGGCTACCAAGTCAATAGGATTTGAATTGTTTTTTGCAGTAGGACTAGCCTGAATATCTGGTAAATGTTGTTTACTCTGTTACCATGTTTCAGGTAGCTGCTTCATCCCCAGTGAAATCTTCGGTTATACCTATTACCAATGCTAAAACTTATGAGGTACAAAATCCTGAGCTACTTCAAAAAACTCCTGTTAGTCCTCTGAAAACAGAGACATCAAAACCAACTTTGAAGTCGACTGTATCCCAAATAGTTCCATCCAAAGAAGAACCAAATAGAGAAACCTGTCTACAGTCTCAATCTAAAGACAAATCTACAACACCAGGTTGTATATTTTTTACAAATCTAAAATTACTGCTGACTACATTGAGGATATTTATCTCAACATTTTAAAATCTCAGTTGTGAATGGTACAGTGTTGGTTGGCCAGGGCAAATGCATGAATATTCCAAGTGAGACTTCTTGTTCAGCTTTAATTGATAGAATGAATATTCATTAGTGTAGACTAGCTCATTTACTGTTCAAAGTCTTAAATCTGCTACATTTTGATGATCTAATATACTTTTCCAGGGTGATCATACTAGATACTTTTTTCCCATGTTTTGATTCAAACAAGGCATATATAACTGGAAATTACATTTTAGGGACAGAATTGGGAAATATTCTTGAAATCAAGTGTGCAAAGCAGTGCTGTTTTATCTTCATTATGAACGCATCCCAAATAGCAGAAAGAAGTGAATATGCATATTGATGATTCTATTCCCATTTATTTTTATATATATATAATGTATGTGAATGTTTACAAGGTAAACTTCAGAATTTCTTACCATGGAAACTGATGCTGTAGGAAATGCCATATTTAGCTTGTAACTTACAACTTCTGATACTCTCCATATAGTATTGATTGAGAAATATTGGATTAAAATGTAATGTACAAATACAAGAATACTTCAGAAAGTTCATGGAAAAATGGTATTGAAAGATAAGTTTATTTTGGTGCAAAATATTTTGAAATCCATGCAGTCTTTTCATAATACTCATTTTCCGTGGAATAATTTTTTTTAAAGATTTATTTATTTTACTTGAAAGTCACAGTTACACAGAGAGAGGAGAGGCAGAGTGAGAGAGAGGTCTTCCATCTGATGGTTCCCTCCCCAACTGGCCACAATGGCTGGAGCTGCACTGATCCAAAGCCAGGAGCCAGGAGCTTCTTCCTGGTCTCCCACATGGGTACAGGGGCCCAAGGAGTTGGGCCATCTTCTACTGCTTTCCCAGGCCACAGCAGAGAGCTGGATTGGAAGTAGAGCAGCCGGGACTCAAACTGGAGCCCATATGGGATGCCGGCACTACAGGCAGCGGCTTTACTCGCTTTGCCACAGTGCCAGCCCCTTCCATGGAATTTTTTAAACAAGATTTATTTATTTATTTGAAAGGCAGAGTTGGAGAGAGAGAGAGAAAAAGAGAGAGAGAGAGTGCTGGTTCACTCCCCAAATGACTGTACTGGCTAGAGCTAGGCCGACCTGAAGCCAGTAGCCAGGAGCTTCTTTCAGGTCTCCCACGTGGGTGCAGGGATCCAAAGACTTGGGCCATCTTCTGCTGATTTCTCAGGAATATTAGTAGGAAGCTGAATTGGAAGTGGAATAGCTGAGACTGGAACTGGCATCTATGGGATGCTAGCACCACAGGCAGAGGCTCTACCTGCTATACCACAGCACTGGTTCCATCCAAAAAATTTTTGAAGTATGCTTTTATATGATAACAGTGTTTACTTGCCCACATTCTTTTCTTTAGAAGGACAGTTTTAATTTAAATTTTAACTTCTTGAAAATGCAATCTCAGAAGCTAAAGTTCATTATAAAGGGAAGTAGATAGATCAGAATATGGAAGCCATTAGTCTTGGGATAAGTACAAATTTACAGTCAGTTTCCAGATGACCCCAAATAAGAAATGGAAATAATAGCAAGATCCCTGCGTGGAATAGAGCTAATTACTCTCAATTTTCTAAAACCTAAAGCTTAAATAAGAAACATTTTTAAATTATTCTTGGTCATCAGAGATACTCAGAAACACATTATCAGGGCCTCAGAGACACATGGGATTTTCAAAATGTTCATGGAAAAGTAGAATTAAAAGATGTGTTTATTTTGGTACAAAATTTTTTTAAAAAATCCATGCCTATGAGGGGTTCCTTGGATTAGGCGAGTAATTCATAATTTTGCTTTTGAGGGGGATAAAGGAAATCATTCATGATTTTTAAATATTAAGCTTCTCAAAGGCAAGATAAAATAAATTGGACTGTAGATTTATAGGAAGTTATCATGACCAAGATGTTTGGTGGTTAGGGAGATTTATTAATAGCACATACAGTCAGTTTCCAAACACTTAAATTCTGAGGGCTCAGTTTGAGTTTTCTAATCCCTGCTACCCTTCTCACTCTATCTCCTTCAAATTCTTTTTTTTTTAAACTAAATCCTATATATAAATTTTAAAGTGTATAGTTAAGTAGGATTTCTTTTTTTTTTTTTTGAGGTTGATTTATTGAATTTATTTACTTTTGTAAAAAAATATTTATTTAGTTTTAAATTTTATTTATTTTCCCCCAGAAACCTGTTGTTTAAGGTATATAAACTTCATGCATTTCATAAATACAACTTTAAGAACACAATGATCCTTCCCACCCTACTTGCCCTCCCACCCACGCTCCCACCCTTCCTCCTCCCTCTGCTATTCCCATTCTTATTTTTCACTAAGATCTATTTTCAGTTAACTTTATACATATAGGATTATGCTAAGTAAAGAATTTAACAAATAGTATGGAAAAAAAAGAGTTCCTGAACAGTCACAAAGGTTGTTCAGTCATTGCATCTCAAAGTGTCAATTTCACTTCTATAGATGAGCTTTTAGGTGCTCTATTAGTTAGCAAAGATAGGGAGAACTTATGGTATTTCTCCTTTTTGGGACTAGTTTATTTCACTAAATACAATGTTTTCCAGTTTCATCCACTTTGTTGCAAATGACAGGATTTTTTTGTTTATCACTGTATAGTATTCCATTGTGTACATATCCCATAGTTTCTTTTTTTAATGATTTATTTGTTTATTTAAAAGAAAGAGAACAGAGAAAGAGAGAGAGAAAGAGGTCTTTCATCTGCTGGTTCACTCCCTAAATGGCCCCAACAGCTGGAGGTGGGCCGATCTGAAGCCAGGAGCTTCTTCTGGGTCTCCCATATGGGTGCAGGGGTCCAAGCATTTGTGTGTCTTCTGTTTTCCCAGACCATAGCGGAGAGCTGGATGGGAAGTGGAACAGCCGGGACTCAAACTGGGATGCTAGCACTGCAGGCAGCGGCTTTACTCGTTTAACCACAGTACTGGCTGCCATAATTTCTTTATCTATTCAGTTGACTGGCATTGGGTTGATTCCATATCTTAGCTATTGTGAATTGAGCTGCAATAAACATAGGGGTACAGATAATGCTTTCATATGTTGATTTCATTCCCTTGGGAAAATTCCCAGAAGTGGGAAAGCTGGGTCATATGGTGAGTCTATATTCAGATTTCTGAGGTGTCTCCATACTGTCTTCCACAGTGGCCATACCAGTTTACATTCATCAACAGTGGATTAGGGTACCTTTTCCCCATAGATCCTTGCCAGCATTTGTTGTTTGTTGATTTTTGTATGCAAGCCATTCTAAGGGGAATCAGGTGAAACCTCATTGTGGTTTTGATTTGCATTTCCCTGATGGCTAGTGATCCTGAGCATTTTTTCATGTATCTGTTGGCCGTTTGATTTCCTCTTTTGGAAATTGCGTTTCTTAATTGGATTGTTTGTTTTGTTGTTGTTGAGTTTCTTGAGCTCTTTATATATTCTGGATATTAATCCTTTATCAGTTGCATAGTTTGCAAATAATTTCTCCCATTCTTTCAGTTGCCTCTTCACTTTGCTGAATGTTTCTTTTGCAGTGCAGAAGTTTCTCAATTTGATGTATTTCTGAAATATTTTCATAGTGTTCACTTTTTGAATGAATATTCCTATTGGAATCAAAGCATTCTGGGGTAGGTGTTATGGCATAGCCAGTAAAGCTATTGCTTGAAATGCCCCCATTCCATATCAGAGTACCTGGTCTCAGTCCTGGCTACTCTGTGCTTCTGATCCAGCTTCCTGCTAATGTGTCTGGGAGGCAATGGATGATGGCCCAAGCACTTAGGTTCCTACCTCCCACCATATGAGACCAAGGTGGAGTTCCATCTGTCCCAGCCCCAGCTGTTGTGGATAATTGGGGAGTGAATCAGCAGATGATGGAAGATTTTCTCTCTCTCTTTTCCCATCTCTGTCACTCTGACTTTCCAATAAACAAATCTTTTTTATCTGAAAAGCATTTTGAACTATAATTATAGATTTTTTCCATAAACGTTATACTTATTATTTATTTTGAATTACCTCTGAAAATATGTGTGTTTTCTGCAGGAGGAGGAGGAGGAATTAAGCCTTTCCTGGAACGCTTTGGAGAGCGTTGTCAGGAACACAGCAAAGAAAGTCCAGCTCGTAGCACACCCCACAGAACCCCCATTATCACTCCAAATACAAAGGCCATCCAAGAGAGATTATTTAAGCAAAATGCATGCTCATCTACTACCCATTTAGCGCAACAGCTCAAACAGGTATGACTCACCACCTTTAACATTATTTATTTTATGGTCTTAGCATGGAATCTAGAAATCAGGATCTAAATTCTGATACTAGTCCTTTTGACTGAGATAAATAGTATCTTAGTCTCTGGATCACTAAGTTCAAATTGGAAGTGTTGTTCTACATCCCACACGTTCTTTGTGTATCATGCATTTTTTTAAGTTTGAAAGTGATACAGACTCTCCACTATAGTTTTCCCTCCAACTTAACTGAGAATACACTTTCTTCACTTTTTTAAAAATTATTTTCACCTAGCCTAGAGCAGAATGCCTTGTTGTTATTACACCACCTTGGAACTCCACAGATAGAAGTGTTTGTAAGCCAGATTGCAGCTGCCTTGCATATTTTTTGTGTTATTTGTGAAAACAAATTTCTGAAATTTCTGTGGGGTCTCTGACAATCTCATTGCAAAGTTAAGTATATTAAAAGTATGACTGTTGTATATCTCAAAAAAAAAAAAAAGAAAAAGAAAATGAAAACAAAGTGTCAGTAGTAGCAGTGCTTGTTATTCTTAAACATGCTATTTGCTTTTGTATAAAATATAGCTTTTGTGGTTTAGGAAAGAGAGAAAGAACTGGCATGTCTTCGTGGCCGATTTGACAAGGGCAATTTATGGAGTGCAGAAAAAGGCAAAAACTCAGGAAGCAAACAACCAGAAACCAAACAGGTAAGGTAGACAAGAAATATAAAAGCGAACTTGATACCAAAGGAGTGTTGGGATCTAATTTGTAGTTCTGTATTATTTAAAAAACTCCCTATACACTTTCTCCTTTCAAATAACAATGATACTGCCCATATATAATACACCTTAATTGTATGTTTGAATTGTTGTGATATTTTCCCATTTCAGTGAAATTTTTCATCATATTATTTTGATGACTTTAAAATCAAATTTAAATTATTTTCATTCATAGTTTCAGATTTTCCAAACTTTTATTTAAATGTTGGTTTTAAAATATTTCTTAGAATTTGCTTTTCTCCAAGGTTATTTGCCTCTTCTCAAATATTATACTTTTAGACTTCTTTGTAATCCATTTAGTCACTACATACCAGAATTCTCTTTACTCCTGCTAATTTTCATTATTCAGCCTTGAATAAAATCTGTACTTATAAACTGTGTTCTATTACATTTACATGCCTACTATGTACAGAGGACTGTTAGGATTTATTTTTAAACTAAAATAATTACATTTATGGTGGAGAGCAGTAGAAAGCTTAAGTAAATTTAACAGCATTCTTTAAGAAATATCTACTTGATTGATGCTGGGGATTTTATTTTTTTCCATCAGTTCTCTTGCTTAACAAATCATGTTTTCTGGAGTTCTGACCTCTGTGTTATTTTTGCCTCACTTGCCCCAGGATATCTTTTCTGTACCCATATCCAGATTTCGACTCAGCCAAGCATAGAATTCTGAAGTTGCTTGTCCATGCTGTTCTGATTTCGCTCCTGAAATCCAGTCTATATTGACTACTAGAGGCCTCTACATTTTGCTGCAGTATCTTCCCCTTGGAGTCTGTGTCTTCACTTGTGACTTAACTATATACCTCATTTAAGATAATCTGGGAGTTCTTCCTTGTCTCCTCCCTGTTGTTTAGTAAGCCTCCGTATCTGCTTTCCCCTAGCACACATACGTGTAAACACATGCTTCCAGGGAAAAGCTCTTTCAGTCTGTTACCAAGCTGTCTGTCTGCCATATTTTCCTCTGCCATTACTGTAGTCACTACCATAGCTTTGCATGGGACACCCTGTCTCTAATTTGGCTGCTCTCCAATCTGTCTTTTTTTTTTTTTTTTCTTTTTTGACAGGCAGAGTGGACAGTGAAGGAGAGAGACAGAGAGAAAGGTCTTCCTTTGCCGTTGGTTCACCCCCCAATAGCTGCCGCGGACGGTGTGCTGCGGCCGGTGCACCGCGCTGATCCGAAGGCAGGAGCCAGGTGCTTCTCCTGGTCTCCCATGGGGTGCAGGGCCCAAGGACTTGGGCCATCCTCCACTGCACTCCCTGGCCACAGCAGAGCTGGCCTGGAAGAGGGGCAACCAGGACAGAATCCCAGTGCCCTGACCGGGACTAGAACCCGGTGTGCCGGCGCAGCAAGGCGGAGGATTAACCTAGTGAGCCGTGGCGCTGGCCTCCAATCTGTCTTAATTTATTGCCTACAGAGAATAATTTTTCACAGGCAAATATTCATGTGCTCACTTACTTGAAATCAGAAAATGTTTGATCTGCATAGCTTGGCATGCAGAATCACTCCTCACTCTATACCTTCCCAGTTCTCCTCTACGGGTGTGCTTCAGTCCTACCATACACACTATGTGCCCGTGTTTTCAGATGTGTTTGCCTTTGCATTGCTGTTCTTTCTGCCTAGAGTAGAACTAGACTCAGTGTAGGAGCTCAATAAGTTTGTGAAGGATGAAAGCACTGTGCTGATCCTTGCCATCAGTGTGGCATACATAGGCTATTTATTACCTGTCGACTTACACCCTCTTGCACCTTCCTTTCATTGCCTTTTTTTTTCCCCAGTTTTTTTTTTTTTTTTTTTGACAGGCAGAGTTAGACAGTGAGAGAGAGAGAGAGACAGAGAGAAAAGTCTTCCTTTTTCCGTTGGTTCACCCCCCAAGTAGCCGCTAAGGCCGGCGCGTTGCGGCTGGTGCGCGGTGCCGATCCGAAGCCAGGAGCCAGGTGCTTCCTCCTGGTCTCCCATGCGGGTGCAGGGCCCAAGCACTTGGGCCATCCTCCACTGCCTTCCTGGGCCACAGCAGAGAGCTGGACTGGAAGAGGAGCAACCAGGACTAGGACCCGGCGCCCCAACCGGGACTAGAACCTAGGGTGCCGGCACCGCAGGTGGAGAATTAGCCTAGTGAGCCGTGGCGCCGGCCTCATTGTCTTCTTTTCACAAGAGTTGGCTGTACTTGTTACTTCCAGTTTTTTTTCTTCCTCTCTTTTGGACACTCTTCACTGAGGCTTTTTTTTGTCTTAAAGATTTATTTTATTTATTTGAAAGGCAGAGTTACAGAGAGAGGTAGATGGAGACAGAGACAGGTCTTCCATCTGCTGGTTCACTCCCCAGATGGCTGCAACGACTGGAGCTGAGTCGATCTGAAGCCAAGAGCCAGGAGCTTCTTCCGGTCTCCTAAGTGGGTGCAAGGGCCCAAGGACTTGGGCCATCCTCTGCTGCTTTCCTAGGCCATACCAGAGAGCTGGATTGGAAGTAGAGCAGCCAGGACTTGAACCGGTGCCCATATGGGATGCCAGCACTTCAGGCCAGGGCTTTAACTGGCTGTGTCACAGTGCTGCCCCCCCCCCCCCCCATTTAAAAAAAATTGAGGCTTTTGCCACTAGCCTTCCGCAGACCATCACCCTGATACATTTCTTCAGTGGTCATTTTTCAGTTGTTGAATTTGATCTGTTAGCACTAGCCTTTTGCTTCTTGATCGCGCTTCTATTTGAACCTTCTTCACTTGATTGCCAGTGTGTCATTCTCATGATTTTCCTCCAGCATCTCTGGAGAGTAGAGGGCTGTGGTTCTTAAACTATTTTGTACTAAATAATTCCTGATTAGTCTGTTAAATTCCTTTCCAGACAGTGGCGTGTATACATGTAAACAAAATTCTGAACACAATTAAGAGTTCTGGGGTCCTTTGGCCCCCAAAAGCTCAGGGGTCAAAGAGGTAGGAGAAAAATACAGTTGAGAGAGTGTGCTGTTCTTAAAGTCAAGGGAAGAAAAAGCCTTTTGAGAAGGAAGGAGTGGTTGATCCTGTCAAGTGTTGTCCAATGTGGGTTACGTGGAGCCCTCTGGACTTTGAGGGAGCATGCTGTAACATTGCAGGAGCAGTTTTAGTGAGCTGGTAGGGCAGAATGCAGGTAGTAACAGGTTGGAGAGGGCTTGAGAAGTGAGGAGCAGGACCAGTGAATACAGGCAATTTGTAGACCTTTGTTCTAAAGAGGAGAGACAAGGGAGGTGATGGCTGGAGAGAATGAGAAAGCAAAGTATGGTTTGTGGTTGTTTTGTCTTTTTGAGACTTCAAGTCAATTTTTTGTTGATGGGAAAGAGCTAGTAAAAAGTTGAAGATAGAGGAGGAAAAGGTGATAATTGATGGGATGAAATGAGATTGGATGAACTTAAAGGACTGTGAAAGAAAGAGAATTGATGAGGAAATCTGCTGGTGTGTTAAGAAGGAAGAAGGGGAGCCAGTGCTCTGGCACAGTGGATTAACGCCCCCGCCTGCAGTGCTGGCATCCCATATGGGTGCCAGTTTGAGTCCTGGCTATTCCACTTCCTTCCAGCTCTGCTATGGCCTGGGAAAGCAGTACAAGATGGCCCAAGTTCTTGGGCACCTGCACCCACGTGGGAGACCCGGATGAAGCTCTTAGCTCCTAGCTTCAGATCAGTTCAGCACTGGCCATTGTGGCCAATTGGGGAGTGAACCATTGGATATAAGACCCCTCCCCCCTCTGGGTCTACCACTCTATGTAACTGTCTTTCAAATAAATAAAATAAACCTTTAAAAAAAAAAAGGAAGAAGGGAAGTGATGTGGGGATTGATAGACCTATGATGGCAGAATGTTTTGTTCATTGTTAGGAAAAGGATGGTGGCAGACGAAATACTTCCTGGAGGATGGAAGAGATGGCTGACTCAGAAATAAAAGAAATATGGAATAGTGTCTATGAGGTGCTGATGGGATCTGAGAACCTAAATTTATAGTGAAACCAAATTCCAAAGTTGTGATTTCTCTAGGTATATCTAAGGAGCCTGGATATAAACTGGAGAAGTTGGGTTGGTTGTAGGTTAGGTTTTGCCAGATGAGTGGAGCTATGGTTGAGGTGAGGAGATTGAAGATACTGGCAAGATAATGGTTGCAGTAAAGGGTAATGATGTCTTGCCTAGATGAAGCTGTAAAGATATACGCAGAGACAAAAGGAAGAAAAGCAGCAGATGGCCAGAGATCCTCATGAGACCACAAAACAGGCTCTGTCGGAATTCCTGAGCAAGAAAGCTAGAAGTGATTGGAGATGTGGTGAGCATGGGATATTTGAGTTTAGGATTTCAGAGCATAAACAGATTTCAAATGGTGGCCAAGTTGGAGTGGTGATGAAAGTCTTTGGAACTGAATTCTTCATGCAACTGAGAAGCCGAGGTTTTTGTTGGAAAGTCCTTGTGGCTACTTTTATCACTCAGGTGATGGCAGGTCTTGAACTAGAGAAATGTTGGGGGAATGCAGAGGGTTATTCACAGATACTAAGGATTTGGAGTGGGATGGGGAGTGCACTGTGAATAGATGACTTGTGCCTCAAAGGAGCAGGAGCAGTCTAAAGGCTTAATAAGAGCATAGGAATATTATTAGAACCCAAGGAAGAGGTTGTCCTTTCAGGTAGCAGGGATTAGGAGAGACAAGAGTCTTTATTTCAGAAGTTTGCAGGGTAAGTCCTTTTGTCACAGAGGTGAGGTTTCTGTTAGGACTAGAAAGTGGGGAAATACATAGTGCAGAGGATGAGGTTGTGGGAGTGGAAGAGGCTTGATGGGCACATTAATGTATTTTTGGAGAGGGCTGTGGGGGGAGTTTGACTTCGTTGGGAGACAGCACAGAGTAGTGTGCAGCTGAGACTAGTGTAGAAGGTAAAGGTAATAAGGCTATTATAAGAGTTAATATGCCAGGCCTCTGTTGGTACCTTTAACACAATATTGAATCCTCACAGTGTTACTGTGAATTAGGTAATAATGTAATTCTCCTTTATCTGAGTGAGGACTAAGAAGGAACTGTCACCAGATTATACAGGTGTCAGTTTAGATAAGTGACACAGGGGAAATCATTTTTCACATTTGTGACTTTCACTTTAATTATTTTATCTAAAACTGAACTCTGGTGTGAAATTTCACTCTTCTTGGCTCCTAGTTTCTAATAAAAATTTTACATACTGGGCGTTTACCAAGAATATGAACCAGCATGGAGGGCTTGTTGTGTTCTGAACAAGGATGGGCCCTGACCTGTACATAGTCTTATTCTGAGTAAACTTACATAGAATAATGTTTAATAATTATCTTGTTTCATTCAGTAATGTGTAAAATGATAAAATCTATATCTTTGAGAAATAAAATTTACCTCCTTATGTACTTTTTGCAGGAAATATCCTGTCAAAACACTCCCCTCAGGAAACATCAAGTTGTTTCAGATACCCCGTCACTTCCAGTAACAGAAAAGGTAACAGAAAATCAGACACCAGAGAAAACTTCCAATACAGAATCTACAGGTCAGTGTTTCCTATTTCTGCCTCTCTTAAAATGTGGCTTTCAGTCTACCACAGATTTCAAAGTTGGATTGGAAAGCAGAAATACTGCTGTGGTGGAGAATCATCCATTTCCTTATTTCCACTCCACTTTTTCATTTGGAACCTTGCAATGTGCTTCTGCCTTAGTTATCTTTCTAGAGTGAAACCTCTTACTCTTGAAGAGTGTGTAATTTCTACATTTTTTGAAGAAAAATTCAGAAGTATTTATTGAATTTAAAATGTGCATGCTCTTTTCCTTTTCTTTTCATCTTGTTTGAAAGTCAGAAGGGCAGAGATATTTGCTTTGCTAGTTCACTCCCCAGAACTCAGTCTGGGTCTCCCAAGTACTCAAGCCATCACCTGCTGCCTCCCACTGTGTGTAGTAGCAGAAAGCTGGCTCAGAAATGAAGTAACCAGCACTCCAGCTAGGCCTTCTAATATGGGATGTGGGCGTCCCAAGCAGCAGCTTAACTCTCTTCCAAACGCCCTCATCTGCATGCTAGTAATTCATCTTTTCAAGTGTTTTTAATGAGATGAATTCTTAAACTGTTAAGCAAAGATATGTGTTTTAATAAATTCATCATAGTTAAGGGACAAATATCATATGTTCTCCCTGATCGGTGACAACTAACCGAGCACCAAAAAGAAAACCTGTTGAAGTGAAATGGACACTATGAGAAACGGTGACTTGATCAGCCCTTGCCCTGACTGTTGATGAACAACTTGATACTTTATCCCTTTTAGTATTTTTTTCTGTTTGTTCTACTTAATACTATTGGTTGAATTCTGTAATTAATACACAATTATTCTTAAGTGTTGAAACTTAACTGAAAAGTGATCCCTGTTAAATATAGGAGTGGGAATAAGAGAAGGAAGAGATGTATAATTTGGGACATGCTCAATCAGACTTGCCCCAAATGGTAGAGTTAGAAACATACCAGGGGATTCCAGTTCAGTCCCATCAAGGTGGCATGTACCAATGCCATCTCACTAGTCCCAGTGATCAATTTCTGTTCACAATTGATCATAATGATAGGACTAAGAACCAAAGGGATCACATAAACAAGACTAGTGTCTGCAAATACTAACTGATAGAATAACAAAGGGAGAGCACGATCCAACATGGGAAGTGGGATACACAGCAGACTCATAGAATAGTGGATGTCCTAAACAGCACTCTGGCCTCAGAATCAGCCCTTAAGGCATGTGGATCCAGGTGAAAAGCCCATGAGAGTATTTCAGGCATGGAAAGCCAAGACACTCTGGCAAAAACAAAACAAAACACCTAAATGAATGATCTCTGCAAGTGAAATCCCAGTGGAAAGAACAGGTTATCAAAGAAAGAGGTACCTTTCTCTGAAGGGAGGAGAGAACTTCCACTTTGACTATGACCCTGTGGGAATAAGATCGAAGTCGGTGAACTCAAAAGGCTTCCATAGCCTTGGCAACTCATGACTAGAGCCTAGGTTGATTACTGACACCATAAACAAGAGTGTCAGTTTGTTAAGTCAACAACAGGAGTCACTGTGCACTTACTCCTCATGTAGGATCTCTGTCCTTAATGTGCTGTACATTGTGATCTAATGCTATAACTAGTACTCAAACAGTATTTTTCACTTTGTGTTTCTGTGTGGGTGCAAACTGTTGAAATCTTTACTTAATATATACTAAACTGATCTTCTGTATATAAAGAGAATCAAAAATGAATCTTGATGTGAATGGAAGGGGAGAGAGAGCGGGGGGGTGGGAGGAAAGTTATAGGGGGGGGAGAGCCATTATAATCCATAAGCTGTACTTTGGAAATTATATTCATTAAATAAAAGTTAAAAAAAAAGAAAAAATTCATTATAATGCTGTTTATGGTGGTAATAAGACTTTAATTGGCAGGGCCAGCATTGGCGCAAGGGGTTAAGCTGCTGCCTGTAATGCTGGTGTCCCATGTGACCACTGGTTCAAGTCCCAGCTGCTCCACTTCCAATCCAGCTCTCTGCTGATGGCCTGGGAGGGAAGCGAAGGATGCCCCAAGTGCTTGGGCCCCCACACCCGCCTGGGAGACTCCGAAGAAAGAAGCTCCTGGCTCCTGACTTTGGCCTGGCCCAGCCTTGGCCATTTGGGGAGTGAATCACTGGATGGAAGATCTCTCTCACTTCATCTCCCTCCCACCTTCTCCCTCTCTCTTTCTCTCTCTCTCCCTATAACTCTGCCTTTCAAATAAATAAGTCTTTTAAAAAATCATTAAGGTGGTAATTGTTATGTAATATGTTTTCAACCACAATTTTTTAAAATGCTTATTAATTTTACTTGAAAAGCAGAACCCAGAGAGGGAGAGAAAGAGTGGGAAGGGAGGGAAAAAGGGATGGGAAAGGAGAAAGAGAAAGATTTTCCATCCACTGGTTAACTTCCAAATGCCTACAATGGCCAGGCTGAAGCCAAAAGCCTAGAACTCCATACAGGCCCCTATCCTGGGTTGCAGGGGCACAAGCACCTGCTTCCCAAACATCTGCTGCATCCCAGGATACATCAGCAAGGAGCTAGATGGGAAGCAGAGAAGCCAGGACTTGAACAGGCACTCAGGTATGGGATATATTAAGTCCCAAGTGGCAGCTTAATCCAGTGTACCTCAATGCCCATCCAGTACCACAATTTTAAAAATAAAATTTTTCAAATATAAGTGTGATGTATTAAATGTCATTACAAAGCTACCTTATTCTTTTAGTCAGCTATACAATATTTGATTACATGGATTTAACAATTAATTTAAATAGTCTTTTACTGAGGGTCATTTAGGTCAATTAAAGTCTTTTTTTTTAAAGATTTATTATTTGAAATGCAGAGTTGCAGTGAGAGGGAGAGACAGAGAGAGATCTTCCATCAGTTGGTTCACTTCCCAAATGGCTGCAACAGCTAAGTCAGACTGAAGTCAGGAGCCAGGAGCTTTATACTGGTCTTCCATAGGGGCAGTAAGAGCACAAGTACTTAGGCCATCCTCTACTGCTTGCCCAGGCACATTAGCAAGGAGCTGGATCAGAAATGGAACAGCCAGGACTCGAACCAGTGGTCATATTGAATGCCAGCATTATAGGTGGTGGCCTCACCTGCTATGCCACAGTGCCAGCCCCCACCTTAATCATTTTTTTTAAATTATTTAAAAAATTCTGGTTAACATGTAATACTCATAAAAATGTAGTACAATGCAATATTTCAACCCATATACATTGCATAAACTGATCAAATCAGGCAACTAGCCCAACCCTTATCGTTTTTGTGTGTATTTGTAGCCTACCAGCTCCTACTAGTTCTCTGTATTGAATATAATACATTGTTATAAACTATAGTCACCTCCTATAGGGTAGAACACTAGAACTAAATACTTCTTCCTGACTGTGTTGATACCTATTTTCCAACCTGTAGAATCCCTGTTCCCCCTACCCTTTCCAGCCTTTACTAATCACTATTCTAAATTCAGATCAACTACTAATTTTTTTTTGTACTTCCACATATGAGAGAACATGTGGTGTTTATCTTTCACTGTCTGGCTTATTTCAGTTAACATAAAGATCTCCAGTTCCATAGTTCCATTCATGTTGCTGAAAATGTCAGGATTTCATTCTTTTCTTATGGCTAGATAACATTTTATTGTGTATATGTACCATATTTTCTTTATCCATTCGTGGATTGATGGACAGCTAGGTTGATTCCCTGTCTTTGCTATTATAATTATTGTTGAAATGAACATGGGAGTACAGGTATCCCTTTGATAGGCAGATTTTATTTCCTTCATATATATAGCCAGAAGGGGGATAGCTGGGTAAGATGGTAGGTTTGGTCTATTTTTAATTTTTTGAGGAACCTCCATATTCTTCATAAAGGCTCTACTGATTTGCATTTCCAACACCAGTATATAAGGATTCCTTTTTCTTCACATCTTTGCCAGCATTTATTATTTTTTGCTCTTTTGATAATAGTTGTTCTAGCTCATTGTGGCTTTATTGAGCAGTTTTTCGTATATTTGTTAACCATTTGCATTTCTTTTGAGTAGTCTATTCAGATCCTTTGCCCGTTTCTTAACTGGGTTATTTTGTTGTTGTTGGTTCTTAATCCTTTGTAAGATCAATAATTTACAAATATTCTTTCTCATTTTGTCAGTTGTCTCTGCACTGTTGATTGTTTCTTAGTTTAATATACTACTGTTTATCCAGTTGTGCTTTTGTTGCCTGTTTTTTGGGGGTCTTTATCCAAAAATCTTTTCCCTATACCAATGTCTTGAAGTGTTTCCCCTATGTTTTCTTCTATGAGTTTTTGTAGTTTTGGGCCTTACATTTGGGTCTTTATTCTATTTTGAGTTACTTTTTATATATTATGGAAAATAAGAGTGCAACTTCATTATGTTGCATGTGGATATCCAGTTTTCCCAGTGCGCATTGCTGAATGCTGTCATCTTGGTGCTCTTGTGTGAGGTGTAGGTAAGGGTCTCGTTTCGTGCACACAAGGGATCTTTTCCCAGCACCATCTGTTGAAGAGACTGTTCTTTCTCCTTTTTTTTTTTTTTTTTAACATTTTCAACATATAAGATAATCATCTATGAACAGAGATAATTTTGCTACTTCCTTTTTAATTGGATGCCTTTTATTTCTTTTTCTTGTCCTTTGGCTAAGACTTCCAGTAATATGTTGAAGAAGTAATGAAAGCAAGTATTTTTGTCTTGTTGATCTTAGAGGGAAAGCATTCAGTTTTTCATCAATGAGTATAAAGTTAACTGAGGGCTTTTCAGACTTGGCCTTTATTAAGTTGAAGGTAGTTTTATTCTATTCCAATGTTTAAGTGATTTTTATTGACTGGAAACAAATTGTAGAGTAGTATGTGTAGTACAATCAATCACTTTCTAATAAAATGAAACAAAAGTATATATACAATGAAAAACAAGCAATGTGTTACCTGGTAATATTATTGTCCCCAAGAAGGTGAGGAGGAAGAGAAAGTTGAGAGGACAGTATTTTGGATGGTTCTTTCCTTCAACTGTTTATAGACTTAAATATTTTAAAACAAATGCCAAGTTTTATAATGAGAAAAAAACCCTAGATCTTTAATTTAAAAATTCTGGGTTCTAAGGCAGGCATTTGGCCTAGTGATTAAGATACCTGTGTCCCACATTGGAGTGCCTGGGTTTGATACCTGGTTTAGGCTCCTGACTCCGACTGCCTGCTAATGTAAACCTTGGGAGGCAGCTGTGATGGCCTAAGTGGTTGGGTCTCTGCCACCCACATAGGAGACCTGGGTTGAGTTCCTTGCTCCTGGCTTTAGCCTGGTCCAGTTCTAGCTGTTGCAGGCATTTGAGGTGTGAACCAGAGGATGGAGGTCCCTTTCTTTGTCTTACTCTCTGTGTCTCTCAAATTTTCCTTGAAAAATTCTATATTCTTATGTATGTTAAAATGACCTTTCCTAAAATTTTTTAGGTTTCACTGAAAGCAAAATGACGAAGTCTAGCCCTTTGAAAATAACATTGTTTTTAGAAGAGGAGAAGTCCTTAAAAGTAATATCAGATCCAAAGATTGAGCATCAGACTGGTTGGTTTTAATCTTTATTTCTTATTAACTTAGGTATACTGTAAGAATTAATAGATTGGTAGAAGCATATAACTTGGATATATATAGTATTATTTACCTCAAAATATATTAATTTTATGATTCTTTTTTTTTTTTAAATTAAGAAGTACTCTAACTTCCACAAGGATGTGGTACAGTTAACAGTTACTGTTAGGTCATAGACCCCTGTGAAAAGCTGATTAAGATCATCACTCACTTTCACAGGGAGGGGAAATCTGCCCCCCCACCTCTTCTGCAGATACTGTTATAAGCTTCAGAAGCCCCTGAAGTTTATCTGTGAACCCTACCTTACGTGACATTAATGTTTTCCTATTACTGACTGCTTTGTGAAAGGGCAGCTTCCAACAACAGAAAAAGAGTAATTTGAAAGGACATTTTTGGAAAACCTGAAGCTTTTGGCTGTCATGTAGAATTTTAGTTCTTAATTTATACTTTCTTGAATTGAAAGCACTTATTTGGCTTTTAGTAGATCCAACTTTCATATCTTAGAAAATGTCTTTAGAACTTTGAGAATTATCTTGCTTTTGTGTATTAGTATTGTTTTATTGCTATTTTGTTTAGAAGGGGCTTTTTCTTCAGGCTTTCCCCTCTTAATCCAGTAAACTTCTGAATGTTAGGTCTACTCTGCTGTACCTTTAGTTGTTACGGGTCTGAATCACAGTATCTACTTATTTGCAATACTTTTCAGAAGTGGTACGTGAAGTTGAGATGAATGTGGATGATGATGATATCAATAGTTCAAAAGTAATTAATGACATCTTCAGTGATGTCCTAGAAGAAGGTGAACTAGATGTGGAAAAGAGCCAAGAGGAGATGGATCAAGAGGAAGCAGAACAGGAAGATGCATTAAATATCTCCTCAATGTCTCTACTTGCTCCATTAGCACAGACAGTTGGTGTGGTAAGTTCTGAGGTAAGAAAAGACTAAATGTAAGCAGGTCCCTGACATAAATACACTAAAGAGTAGCAGGGTTTGCCCTTTTTTTCTTGCTGGTTGATAAGCATGTGGCTTTCTGTAGCCAGAGGGATTTTACAAACCTGATGAAAATTCTTTGAAACAAGAGCTTAAAACTTTTCAGTGGTTTTCTGTTGACCTTAGACAAAGTTCAAACAGTAGCATGACTTAAAATTTAATATGAGGGGCCCGGCGCTGTGACGTAGTGGGTTAAGCCGCTGCCTGCAGTGCCATGCATCCCATATGGGTGCCAGTTCAAGACCTGGCTGCTCCACTTCTGATCCAGATCTCTGCTGTGGCCTGAGAAAACAGTAGAGGATGGCCTAAATCGTTGGGCCCCTGCACCCATGTGGGAGATGCGGAGGAAGCTCCTGGCTCCTGGCTTCGGATCAGCGCAGCTCTGGCCATTGTGGCTAATTGGGGAGTAAACCAGTGGATGGAAGACTTTCCTCTCTCTGCCTCTCCTTCTATCTCTGTGTAACTCTGACTTTCAAATAAATAAATAAATCTTTAAAGAAAATTTAATATGAGACATTTGGGCTCAAGTCCTGACTCTGTCATTTACTGATTTTTTTATTAGATTATTTACACAGTTCCCTCATCTCATAAATGAGTTTAACAGTAGCACCTTTCCCATGAGGTAGATGTGAATGTTTTTCATATTAATGAGTTAGACTAACACCAGATGTATAGCTAACATTTATTGAGAGCTAACTACTGTTTGAAGCTGTCAATCTAAGTGGCATCTGCAACTCTGGAGATAGATTGGTTTAGTTAGAAATATTTAAAAAAAATTTTTATTTATATGAAAGTAAGAGATACAGAGAGACAGGGAGAGACAGACAAAGAAGCCTTCCATCTGCTGGTTTATTCCCCAAATGGCCATGATGATCAAGGCTGAGCCAGTCTGAAGCCAGGAGCCTAGAACTCCACTGGGTCTCCCATGTGCGTGATAGGGGTCGAAGTTCTTGGGCCATGATCCACTGCATCCCCAGGCACATTAGCAGCGAGCTAGATCAGAAACAAAGCTGCCGGGACTCGAACTTGGGCACCAGTATGGGATGCAGCGTCATAGGTGGCAGCTTAATCCACAGCGCCACAGCGCATGTCCTAGAAAATTAGTTAGAAATGTTTTTAAAGAGTTACCAATGTTTCAGTTGTTTTCTTACTGTTGTTTATCAATTTTTTAGGAGCCTGTTTTAGTTTGCTTTGTTTACTATGGATCAATTGTCTTATTGGATACTTGTTTCTGAATAATGAAGAATTAATTTATTGTCTTAAAATTAAATGAATTATTTAGAATCAAGGTAATCATCCATAGAGTTTACTTATAACTGATGTGCTTTTGTGCAGGGTTTAGTCTCCTCGCCTAGATTGGAACTGAAAGGTACTAGCATAAGTGATGAAAGTCCAAAACCAGGAAAATTCCAAAGAACCCGTGTCCCTCGAGCTGAGTCTGGCGATAGCATTGGCTCTGAGGATCGTGATCTCCTTTACAGGTAAGAACGTTTCTGGAGGAGACTCACTTACTAAGAGTCATGATTTCTCTTGTTCTATAACTGATAATTACAGTGTTAATAATTCACCTGCATAGAAGTTTGGAATAACTTTTATTAGATTCTCTTTTACCAAATGACATCTCCATTTTGGTAAAATGCTTCCCTGATATGTTCAGTATAAATATCAAAATCTGGTGATATGTTCAATAAGAGATACTGTTCAATGTGTATTGCTGGATTTCTAATAGAGTGTAACTTATTTCCTGAAGCATTGATGCATATAGATCTCAGAGATTCAAAGAAACAGAACGTCCTTCAATAAAGCAGGTGATTGTTCGGAAAGAAGATACTGCTTCAAGATTAGATGAAAAAAAGGATGCCTTTCCTTGTCAAGTTAATATCAAACAAAAAATGCAGGTAAGCTCTTCTGTGGGAAGGGAATTTGGAAAGCTTGTTGTACTAGATTGTGAAGTCTTTGGGGACAAGGGCCCAGACTTTTTTTTATCTCTAATTAGAATGGTGTCTGATGCATAGACACTCAAGAAGTCACTCTTGAATTTAGTTTAACATCAGGAAAGTACTCTTTTTCTTTTCTTTTCTTTTTTAAGTTGGAAATTTGATGTTGCTGAAATATTTTTGTAATAAATATCTTTAAAGTATAGCTATCAACTGAGTGATGGTATAAAGTGTGAAATTTATTTTTCCCTTTGAGTTTTTTTATGCTAAGGAAAGCATTTTTTAAAAGAAAAGATGATTATAATTTTAATTAAATGAATTAGATACATTTTAAATTTTTACTTTGTTGGGCATATCCCCAACTGTACTTTTAGTAAGTATGAATTGGAAGTCTTTTCAAAAGGAAGAATGTTTATATTTAATTAATCTAAGATGTTAAATTTATTTGCACAGTCCAGAAACTTGAAGAGTAAAACTAAAACATTTTGACTTGACTTTGGAAGTTTTAGAAATTATCCAAACATATTAGGTAGAATTACAGTTTAAAGTGAAAACGGTGATTAAGCTGTATATTTTTTCCTCCACTCATTGGTTCCACTAGGAACTCAATAATGAGATAAATTTGCAGCAGACAGTGATCTATCAAGCTAGCCAAGCTCTTAACTGCTGTGTGGATGAAGAACATGGAAAAGGGTCACTAGAAGAAGCGGAAGCAGAAAGACTTCTTCTGATTGCAAGTACGTGTGATGTGCATGAAATCATTCCAACACAATTTCCAACCAAGTAAAACTCGTCTCCTTTAGTATAATCAGAAACTGAGTGACAGAGAGAGAGAGAGACAGAGATCTTCCAGCTACTGGTTGATTCTAATTGGCTGCAACAGCCAGATCTGGGCCAGGCCAAAGCCAGTAGCTAGGAATTCCATCCAGGTCATCCACATGGGTGGCAGGGGCCCAGGTATTTGGGCCATCCTCTACTGCTTTCCCAGACACACTGTCAAGATGCTGGATCAGAGTAAAGTCGCTACAACTCTAATCACCACTGTGATATGGGATTCTGTTGTTGTAGGTGGCAGTTCACCTTGCTGCACCATAGTGCTGGCCCCTTTGCTTTTTTTAGATTTATTTATTTATTTGAAAAGATTACAGAGAGAGAAGGAGAGACAGAAAAATTTTCCATCTGCTAGTTCACCCCCGAGAAGGCCACAATGGCTGAGGCTGGGCCAGGCCAAGCTAGGAGCCAGGAGGTTCTTCCAGGTCTCTGACACCGGTAACAGGGACCACACTCCTGGGTCATCTTCTGCTGCTTTTCTCAGGCCAAGAAAACAGATCAAAAGTTGATATGTTAAATTATAAGGACTTGGGGGCCAGCGCCATGGCTCACTTAGTTAATACTCCTCCTGCGGCACCGGCATTCCATATGGGCGTCAGGTTCTAGTCCCGGCTGCTCCACTTCCAGTCCAGCTCTCTGCCGTGGCCTGGGAAGGCAGTGGAGGATGGCCCAAGTCCTTGGGCCCTGCACCCGCATGGGAGACCAGGAAGAAGCACCTGGCTCCTGGCTTCGGTTTGGCGCAACGCCGGCTGTAGCAGCCATTTGGGGGGTGAACCAATGGAAAGAAGACCTTTCTCTCTGTCTCTCTCACTGTCTATAACTCTACCTGTAAAATAAAAAAAAAAATAAAAAATAAAAATATTAAAAAAATTATAAGGACTTGATAAACAGATGAGCAATCAAGGTTTCTCCCAACCACCTACCACCTGTTTGTGTAAAGAAAGTTACTGATTATAACTTTTGTCTTATGTACAATTTCCGTATCAGTGCACTCTCTTTAATTGGTCCTCATTGAGAAACAGTTGAAATTTTAATATTTGTAATATTTACTTGTGTATTTTTACATAGCTGAGAAGAGAATACTTTTGATTGATGAGTTGAATAAATTGAAGAATGAAGGGCCTCAGAGGAAGAACAAGGCTGGTCCCAAATCCCAAAATGAATTTGTCCCATCCAAAGGATCAGTTACTTTGTCAGAGATCCGCTTGCCTCTAAAAGCAGATTTTGTGTGCAGTACCTCTCAGAAACCAGGTATGGTGATTTTTATTTGCATCACTTCTAGGTCACATGTTACATTAGAAATTGTATAAGAAAGATTTGAATTGTATAAGAAAGGAATAAGTACAACATGCATAAAGATGGAAAGCTTATATGTTGGGCCTTTAGTTCATTTTATCAAAAAATGTATATTAAAAAAACTAAAGAAAAATTTCATTTATGGTGTTACAAATCCTCATAATAATAGACATAGTGCTCTCTAAAACGTAAGGCTAGACGTAATTTTAAACAAAATATTTTTCTCAGATGAGTTATTCCTGACAAAATGGGATCATTTGACTTTAATTAATTATGTAGAAAGGGTTAGAGAATCTAAAAGGAATGGTTTTATTTTAAATTCACCACATTATAAAAATGTGTTTATAATTCCTGACTGGCTGTGTGGGTGGTGAGCACCTCAATGGAGATACTTCTTTTAAAATTTTATTCCCCTTATCCCCCTGAATTGAATAATATTGGTATACTTTTTTTTTTTTTAAAGATTTATTTATTTTATTTGAAAGGCAGAGTTAGAGAAGGAGAGACAAAGAGAGCTCTGTCTCTGGGTCACCCCCTAAATGGCTGCAATGGCTGGAGCTGGGCCAGACTGAAGCCAGAAGCCAGAAACTTCTTCCAGGTCACCCATGTGGGTGCAAGGGCCCAAGCACTTAGAGTTTTCTGCTGCTTTCCCAGACACATTAGCAGGGAGCTGGACCAGAAGTAGAGCAGGTGGGAATTGAACTGGCACCTGTATGGGATGCTGGCAATGCAGATGGCAGCTAAGCCCACTACACCACAGCGCTGGCCCCAGTAAACTTTTCTGAGCTTGGTATTTTACTAAAAACCTTACATAAGCAAAGTGGGTAAAGTAGAATGATAGCACAATGACAAACCCACAGGGTAATTCTAGAAAATTTAAGATTAAAGTTTTATTAAATGTTAAAGTTTTTTTTTGAAGGATTTTTAAAGTTTTTATTTGTGGAAGATATTCTCTTTGAGGGAAAGGAAGGCTACCCCTTGGTGAGAAGTGAATTTGAGGTACTTGGAAAAAAAGAATAGAAATCTTGAAAAGTTTGAGCATTATTGTAGGAATAAGGTTAACATGAGTTCCCATTCCTGCTGTTGTCTTATTTTAGTGGGGTATGGGCACAAATCAATCAGTAATTTAGTATGTATCTTGAAATATGTGATTTTTAATTATCAAATAATGAATAAATCTTGCTTTTATTAGAATTTATTTCTGAGTAACTTTCCCAGAAAAAAATAGTATTTTAATCTCAGTTTTGAGGTATGTATTAATAGCTAAAGAATTAGGGGTCAGAGTCAGCAGACACTGAAGAATGTGGTGTTAAGTTATTTCAATTTACATAATAGGGAGAAAGCTTAATGGTGTATATTCCAGGATTAGCTTTTAGCTTTTTATGCCTGGAAAGTTAATTTTAGTAATTTTTAAAGGAAATCTTATATAAATCAGTTGCTGTATTACTTTATTCTTTTCTTTTGGTATTCCAAAATACTGATTAGCTAAATCTAATTTTGCTTCTGTTAATTATATAATATGGTTATGTCTTGCAGATGCAGCAAATTACTATTACTTAATTATACTAAAAGCAGGAGCTGAAAATATGGTAGCCACACCATTAGCAAGTATGTCAAACTCTCTCAATGGTGATGCTCTGACTTTCACCACTACATTTACACTGTAAGTACACTAGGCTTCCCATGGCTCAAACACATTTTGTATTTAATAGAGTTAATAAGGTTTAAGCATGCAAGTGACATCTATAATCTTTGAACTGCTTTATGTTAGTTCTTTTCAAAATGACAATTCATTTTCAGTTTATTGGCTTAATTCTTTTATGTGTTTCTGATATTTCTTTCCATAGAGTAGCAAATTTCTCCCATGTGTCTATAGGTGTGTATGATTTTGAAGTTTTGCATATATTAAATCTGTATATAATTTTTTATATATCCTTTGAATATCATGCTGTACTTAATATATACTTTTTTCAACAATGAAACATCTAAATATATCTCTAAGGGGTTCAGAAAGCTGCTTTCTTAAATTTTTTTAAAATTTATTTGGGGTAGGGAGAGAGAGAATGAGCAAGCGAGAGCATGATAGTGCCTCATCTACTGGTTTACTACACAGATGCTCACACTATCTGGGGCTGGGCCCAGGAACTGGCACTAGGAACTCATCTAGGTCACCCACGTGGGTGGCAGGAATCCAATCACTTGAGCCTCACTGTGCCTCCCAGGATCTGCATCGTCAGGGAGCTGGAGACAGGAGCTGGAGCTGGGCAGGCACTCCAGTGCGGGATCCAGGTGTCTGACTGCTAGGCTGAACACCTGCCCCAGTGTGCTACAGGAAGAGAACAGACTGTTCTCAGTAATTTTTTTATTGTCTTTTGTTAAAAACACAGCAGATTCTTTTATTCTTAGAGCCTTATAACTATTTGTGTCATTTTAATGGTATAACTTGAGATTTTTTTCTTACAATTTTATTTCTTTTCTTTTTTTCAGACAAGATGTATCCAATGATTTTGAAATAAATATTGAAGTTTATAGTTTGGTAAGCAGTTAAAGCTGTCTAAAATTACCAATGTTGTATTCTTCTTAATCATATGAAATTATAAACCAATTATGTTTTGGGTTTGTATGCAGGTTCAAAAGAAAGATCCTTCAGGTCTTGATAAGAAGAAAAAACCGTCTAAATCCAAGGTAAGAAATAGTAGATACTGGGGCCAGTGCTGTGGCGTAGCACGTAAAGCTGCCACCTGCAGTGCCAGTATCCAATATGGGTGCCAGTTCAAGTCCCGGCTGCTCCACTATGATCCAGCTCTCTGCTATGGCCTGGGAAAGCAGTAGTAGATGGCCCAAGTCCTTGGGCCCCTGCACCCACATGGGAGACGCGGAAGAAGCTCCTGGCTCCGACCATTGCAGCCAATTGAAGAGTGAACCAGTGGACGCAAGACCTCTCTCTCTGTGTCTCTTCCTCTCCTCTCTGTGTAACATTGCCTTTTAAATAAATAAATAAATAAATCTTAAAGTAGTAAATACCTAGTAAAAGTATTATAACCAGAAATAGTGAACATCATCATGCCAGTTTTAATTATTATACAGTTTTTAGTGATTATGAAACTTTTCAGTTTTATGCCCTATTTAATCAATATCTATGAATAGTAAAAGTAAGTTTACTGTTAGTGATCATGATCCCAGTATTACCTCTTGATATACCCAAGTTGTTTTCTCTACATTTGCTTGACAACTACTTTTTATAACTGGTTAAACGTTTTCTGAAGGCATTCCTCTGAACTCATATCTTACTAAGTCCTCTAAATCGAGACTAAGAACTATGTGGTCATTTGCAGGCATAAGCAATAGAACCTCCAACCTGTTTTCTACTTTTCTAGGCTGTTCTTTTGTTTTTTTCCTAAATCCTCATCAAAGAGTTTTTTGGCTCTAACAAAAAACAAATGACAATATTAGAAACCTTCATGAAGAACTCAAGTTTAGCTTTTTTTTTCTTTAAGATTTGTTTATTTTATTTGAAAGGCAGAGTTACAGAGAAGCAGAGAGAGAGATCTTTGAGCCACTGGTTCACTTTTCAATTGGCCACAATGGCCGGAGCTGTGCCGATCCGAAGCGAAGAGCCAGGAGCTTGTTCTAGGTCTCCCACATGGATGCAGAGGCCCAAGGACTTGGGCCATCTTGTACTGCTTTCCCAGTCCTTAGTAGAGAGCTAGATTGGAAGTGGAGCAGCTGGGACTCAAACTGGCGTCCATATGAGATGCCAACACTGCAGCCAGCAGCTTTACTTGCTGCACCACAGTGCCAGCCCCAAGGTTAACTGTTTGTATTTAAGAATTATTTTCTGGGGCTGTTGCCCCGGTGCAGCAGGTTAAACTGCCCCCCTGTGGTGTTGGCATCCCATATGGGCACCAGTTCAAGTCCTGGCTGTTCCACTTCCACTGCAGCTCCCTGCTAATGTGTGTGGGAAAGCAGCAGAAGATAGTCCCTACCACCCACATGGGAGACCTGAATGGAGTTTCTGGTTCCTGGCTCCTGACCCCTGGCTTCAGCCTGGTCCAATCCTGGCTGTTGCGGACATTTGGGGAGTGAACCAGTGGATGGAAGGTCAATCTGTCTCCCTCTCTTCTCTCTGTGTAACAGCCTTTCAAATAAGCAAATAAATCCTAAAAAAAATTTTTTTGTATATGATGCTATCTCAGGGTTGCTTAGATTTAAACTCTGATTCACAGTATTTAATAGGAAATACACTAAGCTATCTTTTCTTCTAGGCTATTACTCCAAAGCGACTCCTCACATCTATGACCACAGTAAGTAGAATTTCTAAGAAATTGAGCTTCCTCAAGAAATCCTTATCTTAACACTTAAAATTGTAACTTTGTTAACCATTTCTGAACCATTAGTACTGTGGGACTCTAAAATATGCTAATGGGGAGAGGGATCCAGATATTTATGTGAGAAAATGTTTTTTGAAATGTCTTTGTAGTGGTAAGGAGTTTTATATTTAAGTCTTCTTAACAAACATAGGAAATAACCTACTGTTTTTCCTTTGCACATTTTGTAGAAAAGCAGCATTCATTCTTCAGGTGAGTAAACCTTGACCTATTTGACATTTTATAATAAGAAAAAGTTGCATACCATGAATACATACTTATGTACTTGGAGGCCTCCTTGATTGATGAATCTTTGGTCTCCTTTGGAGTAATATTTTGTATATGTGTTCTAAGTAACATATCAGATTACTGACTAGAAGAGCGTCAGTCTCCTTGCTACATCATTGGGCACCGCAGTAGGCCACCAGGCATCACGTTACTCATGCTGTCTTAGTCAGTACACATGGAATACCTACCCATTTGGTAGTTGCAGCTTGTAACATTATGCTTTACTACACCATCTATTCTATAGATTTGTTTTGCACTGTTTTTAACTTTACTGGTCATGCCTGGGACTAAATCATGTCAGCAAAGCATCTTCCTACTTCCTTGGAGTTGGTGTGCCAGTAAGCCAAAGGCCCTTTCTAGAATGGCTTCATTTAGAGCGATATTTTCCAAAGAAGACTTAGTTGGAGCTGGTTTTATTCACCTGTTTTGGACTGTTGATCCCTTCTCTGTGGCACAACAGAATTACTAGGAAGACTTGTACAGAAATAGTCTCTGAGGCTAGTTATGTCTCCCTGGGCTATAGTAGCAATGAAATCTTTTCCATATTTTTTATGGAAAAGTTGCATTTTTATGTACACATTTTAAAATTCTGCATCTTCAAATACGCGTCATCACAAATGTTAAGAAGCCCTATACTTTAAATAGAGAATACTAGTTTTCTTTTATCAGGAAATATATTGATGTTTTATTCCCCCCATATTCAATAAATACAGGAAAATGAGATGGTTTGCTTTGTGTCAGTTTAGTTTCTTAATTTTGTTCAGATGGGGTGAGGAATTTTACTTACACTTGCGAAGCTCACCCTGGCACTAAACTTTATTTCCTCTTTACAGTTATGGCCAGCCCAGGAGGTCTCCATGCTGTGCGTACCAGCAACTTTACCCTTGTTGGATCTTACACACTGTCGTTGTCTTCCGTAGGAAACACTAAATTTGCCCTTGACAAGGTAATCCAACTTTATTGTAAGCTTGTGGTTTTTAAATTTTTTTTCTTTTTTATTAAAATGAGGTCAATAGAAATGCCTCAATACTTTCAACTATTTTAACTCTTTGGCCAAAAATGTATGTTCTTAGGATTGTACATTTTAACTGTACCTAAATGATAAATTTTGGATGTTGGAAGCATTTCTTTTATCTAAATAGATTTTCAAAGTAATGTATGCTGGTTTATTCTAAGTCACACTTCAGACTAAAGAAGTATACTTCTTGCATTTAGATATTAAATTTACAGTTTTAAGACATAGTATCTTGTCTGTTTGAACTGTTATTTTCAAAGAAGCAATACTTTTGGATTTAGTTTTGACAAGACAGGGAAAGATAGTTTAATTTCTTAGAAAGGTACTTGTGAGTGTTTTTTCACCATGATGTAATATAATTAAAATTACTAACTAAGCAGGAGTGAAAGGGCAAGAGGCAAACTGTTAATTGGCATGACCCCTGCTGCCTGTAATATAACGAATTTTGTATTTATAGTTAGAATCTAAAGGTGAAGAAGTATAAATATTAGAAAGCCTGTTTTTGAGTACTTGCCCTGATGGTAAACTAATCTTTATGAGCAAAGTCATTCCATTTCTGGGGGGTCTTATTTTCCCAGTATATAATATTAGGGTACCTTAAAACAACCTGACTTTAAAATTCTTTGTATTTATTAAATAAAAGCTTTCTAAAAACAAAAAAAAAAGAAAAAAAATTCTTTGAAATGTTTCCTTTTGATTGCTAGACAAAACAGACAATTTGAAATTTCGACTACTGTTGGTATATAAATATTTTAATTTTTAAAAATTTATATAACTTTCTGTAGTAATTCAGGTAGATTAACAAATTGAGTGATGCTGGATTTTTTTTCTTTTTCTTTTATTTTGTTTATTTTAGATAAATTATGATCTAAAAGAGCGAGAGCTACTGGGCTATTTGTTCCAGGAAAAGGTTGCCATATTTTCTTTGCTTGAAACTAATGAGCTTAAGAATTAGTCCTTAGTTTTTGATCTGTATGTATTTGTTTGACTAACTACTCCCTTATCTTTTTGATTACTTTGAATAATTAAGGACATTATTCTTTCTTTAGATTCTTTCAGATGGGCATCTCTTTCTTTACTCTCAATTCTCCAAAACGTTCTTTGCAAGTTCTCTGTTTTCTTCATGCATGTTTGGTATTTTGGTATTTGGGTTTTTCTCTCCATATTTTTCCTTCCATTTATAATTCTTTAAAATTCTCTATTCACTACAATATTGATTTTTCTGAGTATCGATTAGAATAACCAAATTAGTAACTATATTTAAACTAAAAATTATGCAGTATTTTTACCCTCCCCTGTACTGAAATCTACATTCTGTTTTTGTGGATGTATCTAATGTATTTGTTTCATATAAATAGAAGCTTATAATAATGTGATCTTTTCTTTCTTGCTTCTTTCACTTAGCATAATGTTTTGAAAGTACATTCTTGGTGTAGAATGTGTCAGTATTTCATTCCTTTTATGGCTGAGTAGTATTCTGTTTTTTGTACAAATAACGTTGTTTGTTTATCCATCTGTTGATGGACATTTAGATTGTTTCTACCTTTTGAGAACTGCAAGTAGTGCTGCTGTGAACATGTGTACTATGTAAATATTTGAGTACTTGTCTTCAGTTCTGTTATACATGTACCTAGGAGTGGAATTATAGGCTCATATGATAATTCTGCGTAACCTTTCTGGGAACTTCTGAACTTATGTAGCACCCACACCATTTGATATATCTACCAATAATGTGGATTCCCATTTCTCCAGATGCTTGCCAATGCTTGATATCTTCTGTATTTTATTTTATTTTTATTTTTTTCAAGATTTATTTATTTATTTGAAAGTCGGAGTTAAACCGAGAGAGAAGGAGAGGCAGAGAGAGAGAGAACCCACTTGTTCACTCCCCAACTGGCCGCAGTGGCCGAAGCTGAGCTGATCTGAAGCCAGGAGCTTCTTCTGGGTCTCCCACACAGGTTCAGGGGCCCAAGGGCTTGGGCCATCTTCTATTACTTTCTCAGGCCACAGCAGAGAGCTGGATTGGAAGTAGAGCAGCCAGGACTCGAACCAGCATCCATATGGGATGCCGGCACTGCAGGTGGTGGCTTTAGCCACTACGCTACAGCACTGGCCCCTATTTTCTGTATTTTAAATAGAATTATGCACTAGTTGAAGTGGTACCTTGGTGTGGGATTCATTTGCATTTCCCTAATGACTGTGGATGTTGAGCATCTTCTCATGTACTCACTGGAAGTTGCAAGTGTATATCTTCTCTGAAAACATGTCTATTCTTTTGCCAGATTTTTTATTTTATTTTTTTGACAGGCAGAGTGGACAGTGAGAGAGAGACAGAGAGAAAGGTCTTCCTTTGCCGTTGGTTCACCCTCCAATGGCCGCTGCAGCCGGCATGCTGTGGCCAGCACACCATGCTGATCCGAAGGCAGGAGCCAGGCGCCTATCCTGGTCTCCCATGGGGTGTAGGACCCAAGCACTTGGGCCATCCTCCACTGCACTCCCTGGCCACAGCAGAGAGCTGGCCTGGAAGAGGGGCAACCGGGACAGAATCCGGCGCCCCGACCGGGACTAGAACCCGGTGTGCCGGCGCCGCAAGGCGGAGGATTGGCCTATTGAGCCACGGCGCCGGCCTGCCAGATTTTTCATTGAGTTGCTTGAACTGATTATCAGAGTTCCGTATATAATCTGAATACTAGACCATTATCTAATATATGATTTGCAAATAATATTTTTCCCATTCTGTAGATTATCTTTTTACTTTCTTGGTAATGTTCTTTGATGTACAGAAAGTTACAATTTTTTATTGTAAATAATATATGAGATTTGCCCTTTTAATATTTTACTATAGTATTGTTAACTATAAGTACAGTGCTGTACAGCAGATGTCTAGAACTTTTTCATCTTACTGAAATTCTGTACCAGTCACCTCAGCTCCCTTTTTCCCCTGTCTCCAGCCTATGGTAACCCCATTCTGTTTTCTGCCTCTGTGAATTTGCTTCCTGTAGATACCTCATATGATTGGAATCATGCAGGATTTGTCCTGCTCCTGGTTATTTCAGTCAACATAATGTCCTCAAGATTCATATACGTAGCAGCATATAACAGAATTTCCTTCTTTTTCAGTTTTTTGGGGAGCCTCCAAACTGAAAGGTTTTTAATTTTGATGAAGTCTTTTTTTTTTTGGTGGTATATATACTTTTACTATCATATGTGAGATTCCATTGCCAAATCTGTGATCATGAAGCTTTATTTCTGTATTTTCTTTTAAGAGCTTTATGAATTTTGCTCTCATATTTAGGTCTTACTCATTTTGAGTTCATTTTTTATTTGGTATGAGGTGTAAGTCCAGCTTCATTCAGACTGTATGTCATAGCCAGTTTTCTCAGTGCCATTTGTCAAACACTCTGCTCTTTTACTTTGAATGGTTTTGGCAACCTTGTCAAGACCTTTTGCCCATAGATATATCAGATTACCTCTGAATTTTTGATTGTATTCCTTTTGTCTATATGTGTATCCTTATACCATACTGTAAAACTTTGAATTCATTTTTAAAATTGGGAAGTAGGATTACTCCAACTTTGTTCATTTTTTTTCAAGATTGCTTTGGTTATTTGTTGCCTCTTACAATTCTGTAGAAGTCAGGGATTGACTATTGTTTCTACTGTTTATTGTATTTGTTGCTGAGTAATATTATATGGATTTTTTTAAAGGTTCATTCATTTATTTATCTGAAAGGCAGAGTTGCAGAGAGAGAGAGAGACAGAGAGACAGAGAAAGAGAGATTCTCCACCTGATAGTTCACTCCCCAGATGGCTATAATGGCCAGAGCTGGGCCAGGCCAAAGCTAGGAGCCAGGAACTTCTTATCTGAGTCAGTCATCCATGTGGGTGGCAGGGGTCCAAGCACTTGGGCCAACCTCCACTGCTTTCCCAGGCACATTAGCAGGGACTTGTATCAAAAGTGGAGCAGCCAGAACTTGGACTGGTGCCCTCACGGAATACCAGCTCTGCAGCCGGCAACGTAATCCCCTGTTTCACAGTGTTGGCCCTGTATGAATGTTTAAAAAATGTTTGTTTTCATCTACTTTTAAGACAGAAACACACACACATACACACACACACACACAGAATGAGAGATGGACAGAAGTCTTCCATCTGTTAGTTCACTCCCCTGAGTGGTTCATAGTCAGTGATGGGCTAGGATTATCCCATGTGGTTGACAGGGCCCAAATACTTCAATCATTTTGCCTCCCAGACTCAAATCTGCATTCTATTATGGGATATAGGTGTCTCAGATTAACTCACCATGCCACAACCTCTGTTGCTATATTGTATGAAGTTACAGCATGGTTTATGCAATCCCCTGTTGAATGTATTCTCCTGTGATAGAGAATATATAAACAGTTGCGTTCTTTTCCTAAATCTGTGTTTTCTTTCTCACAGTTTCTTGGGACTTAGGCTTTTGTTTCTGTCAGGCTGTATCTTAAATTAATTTTTTCTTCAATAGTATTTATTGCTAAGGAACCCATGGCTTTTGGCCACATATTTACATTCTAGCTTTAGAAATACTGTGTTTTCAAGATGTAATATTCTCTGTTAATGAGTTACATGCATTTTATCAAGAAAAGTCACACTTTGAAATGATTTTATAAATAATTTACTCTGTTTCTTCACAGGTGCCCTTTTTATCTCCTTTGGAGGGTCATATTTATTTAAAAATAAAGTGTCAAGTGAATTCAAATGTTGAGGAAAGAGGTTTTCTAGTAAGTAACATCAAACTTTATTTTCTTTTTTTCATTTTGTGATATACAGACTTGGTTTTTTGAAGGAATGAAAGCCTGTGTGATGACGTGATAAACTAGTTCAATAAATACTTGTTGCATGTCCTCTACATGCCAGTCATGATGCTGCTGTTGGAATATTATAGCCACAGAAATTAACCCGGTTACCGAAGAGTAGAGAAATAGAAGTGAACAGACGTATTATCCTAGGAGAATGCATAAGATACATAGGTGTAAACTGGTAAAACACCAGTCTTGACTGTAGATGGGGAGTGCTAGAGGAAGCTACTGGAAGAAGTAACTTCTGAACTGCTGAATAAGTTAGCCACAGGAAAGGGATGAAGTGTTTCAGGGAGTGTGTGCAGTGGCCACCCGAAGAAAAGAAGGTTGATGTGTTCAGATGGGGGTAGCTGTTTCCGGATAGCCAGAGCTTAGCATTTGAGTATTTGTGTGTGAGGAGGGTGGGGTAGTGAGGAGAGTCCCTGGGGAGGAAAGTATGGTTAGGAGACATAAGACAGGTATTAAACTAAAGCCAGTGGGTTACTCTTAAGAGGATTTTAAACAGAGGAAAACATCACTTTTGGGGCTTAGGAAAATCTTTCTGAACAATGTATAGAACATGAATTGGAAAATGGCAACTCTGAAAAGCTGAATGGATGACAGTTGCTACATGTAGAGGTGGTGGGGACTGGGAGCCAGGATGGAGTGAAGGATCCCTCATGGAGAAGTGAAGAAGGGCAGATGCTAATGATTTGGCTTCAGAGAGTAGAAAAGCAGTAGTCAGAGTGGCACCCAGCCTAGTCCTGCCCACACTGATGGGTGGCCACGCTGCTACTAAGATAAGGATCTTTGGGTAAAAGCATGTATGCTCCTTGTTCCTATGTTTGGGACAGGAGGTGGTATATTTTCCCCCAATATTTTGTTGTTTAAAATTATGAACATTACATGTAGTAATGTTTATAGAATTTTACCTTCTCAACTATCTTTAACCTTTTAACAATTTTTTATTCTTTTTATCATATTATCTACTTTCTAGTCATCTCTCTAGCTATTATTCAATCTGTCTTGTCTTTTTTTGAAGAATTTCAAAGTATATTGTAGGCATTAGACATTTCCTCTAAAACTTAAGTCACCTGGCTTTGACAAATGTACACACCTGTCTAACCCAGATTTCTGTTGGGTGTAGAGTATTACCCATCACCTGGAGAGTTCCCGCATTCTTTCACCTGTCCAGTCAATTCCTACCTGAGGTGGGAAGTTGAATGAACTAGATTTTAAACATTTGAATTTTAGATATATAGAGACATCTCAGTCGGGAGCTCAAGATCGATGTTTTAGTTGAAATAAATATTTGGGTATATGCAGTGGGGAGATGGTAATAGAAGCTTAGAGCAAGCGAGTAAGGCAGAATCACAGGAACATTTAACATTTCAAGGTCAGGCCAAGGAGAGAACTCCTCAGAGGAGGCTGAAAGGAGGAAATTGGAGAATTGAATGCCCTGTTTGCCAAGGGAAGAGAGTCTGAAGGAAGGATTGGTCCAGGTAGATAAGGTCTGTTACTATTTTGAACTTCAAGGCCATCCTAGCCTTGGTGAGAGCAGAAGCTAGACGGCAAGTGACTGTAGAGTGCGTCATGGGAGGTGAAGTATGAGAACAGGGGCAACTTGGGAATAAAGTTTGGCAGCAAAGGAATAGAGTGTCATCCTTGCAGAGGTGTATATAGTGAAAGAAGGAGGTTGTCTACATTTTATTAAGATGAGCAAGAGACTTGTGTAGCTTTAAATGCAAATGGGTAGCTTCTAATAGGGCTAAACAGGTTGACAATAGGGACCTTGGGGAACCTGAAGGTAGGATTAATAGGCTAATTCTTGGAACAAGGTTGTGAGAGTAGAGGAAATGAGCCCAAGCCACAGTTCACAGTTGGAATTGATGGTAAAAGAATTATCCTTTTTCCATTATCAGAGGGGGAATGTTGTGATGGAATACATAGAAGATTGTGAGTGTGTTAAAAATCTAATTGGTTTTCTCTGTGTCATAAACTTAATATTATAAGAGATGTTAAAAGTCAGTTTTCAGTTGCTGTCAAAGGGTGCAGAAAGAGCTGGATTGCAAGGGAAGCCTGCTTCTGAAGGATACTTCCAACACGTTTTTCTTCCTTGCTTGCTTTTTTTACAGCTAAATCCAGTAGGTGGCACTAGATATTCTTGGGAAAAGCTTTTTACAAAATTTCTGACTAAAGGCAATGTTTACCTACTGACTTTTTCTTTTCATGTAAATATTTTCATGTTTTGTAAGATTCCTCTTGCAACTGATAAGCCCTGTTATGTTGGCTGGTTCATTTGTGTATACTCAGAAGTCTGACCAAGTTAGTCTTTGAGGTAGAATCTCAACTGGTTTGTTAAATCTCTTCAACTTTGCTCTGCTTTGATTCCTAAAGCTCATTTTTTTTCCCTTAAAGACATTTACTTGAAAGGCAGTTACAGAAAGAGAAAGAGAGAGATCTTCCATTTATTGGTTCACTCCTCAAATGGCTGCAACAGCTGGGGCTGGGCCAGGCCGAAACCAGAAGCCTGGAGTTCCATCCCAGTCTTTCATGTGGGTGCAGGGGCCCAAGCACTTGGGTCATCTTCTGCTGCTTTCCTAGGCAGATTAACAGGGAGTTGGATTGGAAGTGGAGCAGCCAAAATTCAAACCAATGCCCATGTGGATTGCTGGCACCATAGCCGGTGGCTTAACCCACTGAGCCGCAACACTTGCCTCTGAAGTTTTCTTAACTGCAGACATTGAGACAAAAAGTTTGCTGCTCAAATCTTGAGAAGCAAGAAAAACATATTATCTGGTCCCATGCCCCTTCGTCCACAACATCTTCAGTTAATTTTGGTATAGTGGGTACTAAGTAAATGATGAAGAAGAAATAAAGATTCTCAGAATCACCAGTGACCTTCACCAAATCCAAATCAATGGCCATTTCTCTGCAATTCTTCTTTGTTTTTAAAAATATTTATTTATTTATTTGAAAGCTAGAGCAATAGAGAGAGAGAGAGAGAGAGAGAGAGAGAGAGAGAGAGATCTCTTCCATCCTCTGGTTCATTCCCCAAATGGCTGCACCAGCCAGGTCTGGGGCAAGCCAGGAACTTCATTCGGGTCTTCCGCATGGGCAGCAGCCTAAAGCTCATTCTTATCACACCCACACTTACAGAAATATAGAGAAGGAGCTGGAGACTAGTTGCCACTGCCCTCTATGAAAAGTAGAGAGAATAGTATTTGAAAGGGAAGGCGGCTGCATTTGGTTTCCTCTTGCGTATATACCACAGGTACCTGCAAAGGAGGGAGCCTGCATCAGCATCAGAGACTGGGATGTGGCTCTATGGTGCTGATCCACTCTGAGCAGTAAGAGAAGGGTCTTCTGGATGGATAGCTATGTGGCCCCACTTCTGCTTTGTGTCTGTGTGCTATTTAATTTCCTTCACCCTCAGTTTTCTCAGCTGTAAAAATGTGAATGCTGTCCTTTTCTTGTTCCTTTGTGATATCTGGTGTTACTCTTAGCCATCAACATTTTTCTTGTCTGTTACCTTTGTGATATAAAAAACAGACACAAGGAGGAGCTGGTGAGTCATTGGCGCTGACTTTTGTGCTTAAGATTGAAATAACAAGATTCCTTTCTTTGCTCCTTCAGTGGCTGTGAGTAGTATTGCCCAGGAAAGTCATGCTTTGGAAAGGAAAGAGGAGGGGTAGGGGAGAAGAAAAAGGTGGGGCAGGAGGGAATACGGTTGGAGTAAGCTAATGAATCTGAGCTAATTAATTAATTGGATAAATTTGAGGTTTCAATCTATTATAGAATGATTTTCTCTTATACAAACCCAGAGATCACACTCCTAATTCCAGCAGCCTTTTGGAAAATTCACAGAAATGAGTCCAATGAAAAGAGTGTGTATCCTACTGTCCTATGATTGATTAAGGATTAAGGTGATATTAAAAGTACATTAAAATCTATTTAGAATGGCACCTATCACAGCAAGAACTAAATAATCATTGTTATTATTAACTACCCAACAATCAGAAAGATAAAGCTGTGATTTGAAGGAGTAAAAGCTTTGGTACATTCTGAAACCAAAATCAGAGTTGCCTTTGGATTATCTGTCCTGGGGACAGCATAGTAGGGCCCGCTGCCTATTTTATGGACTTTTAGAATGTAGACTCATCTGTTCACTTGGCATCTGTAGCAGCTTTTGTACTACAACAACAAAGCTGCTGTGACAGGGACCATATGGCCCAGGAAATCCACAAAATATTTACTCTTTGGCCCTTTACAGAAAAAGCTGACTGACCCCTAATCTCTAAGTATTTTTAGCTTCCTTTGTTCTTTAATGTAAAAGTTCCTACAAGAATTATTCTTTTAATTAAAAGTGGGGGCTTTTATACAAATTAGGGCCCTGTTGTGACTATAACCATAGATAGCGTGAGAAAACTCCTAGTTTCTACTTATTATTGTTTACGAAGTCCGTCCAGGAAAAGACCATGTGAGTTAGTTCCCTGTTCAAGAGTCCTGCGGGACTGCAGGGGGATGCTACTTATTGATGGCAATGGACCTGGAGTTCTGGTGTCATTGCAGTAATCCGTCAAGGTTTGTCACAAGTTGACTCTTTCTAATCCTGTTAGAGAATTTGTTCTCCTAAATAATAGTCTTTCATGTTAAGATAGGTTTAACTTCATGTGTTTTCAATAGTTTTAAGATATTTAAGATATGATATTCTTAATCATTTTATTCTCCAAAATTGGGGTACTTTTCTCATTTGACAAGTACTTGGATAGGGACAACATATTTTGTAAAAAGTTTTAAATTAGGTAGAGATATTTCTTTGTAGTTAATATCTGAATATTCTCCTTTTTTAAAAAAGATCCTTTTGAAAGGCAAAGTTAGAGAGAGTGTGAAAGTGAGATCTTCCATCTGCTGGTTCACTGCCCAAATGGCCGCAATGGCCAGAGATGGGTTAATTTGAAGCCAGGAACCAGGAGCTTCATCAGGGTCTCCCACGTGGGTGCAGGGGCCCAAGTACGTGGGCCATCTTCCACTGCTTTCCCAGGTGCATTAGCAAGGAGCTGGATGAGAAGTAGAGCAGCTGGGACTTGAATTGGCAGCAGCTTTACCCACCATGCCTCAGTCCTGGCCCCTTGGATAGTCTTAAATGTTTGTAGATGATGTCAATGTTTGTAGATGATGAGTAAAAGACATACAAATTAGAAATAAATTTTAAGATATGAAATATATCAACATATTTAAGTTTAACGTATGTTAAACATATGCATCTCATTGTTGGGATATTTTTCTCCAGTTTTCTAAAGTCAGCAATTCATTTTACTTTTCCAGACTATATTTGAAGATGTTAGTGGTTTTGGTGCCTGGCACCGAAGATGGTGTATCCTTTCTGGAAACTGTATCTCTTACTGGACTTACCCAGATGATGAGAAACGAAAGGTAGGTTGGATTGTGATGGTCATTGTGAAAGCTGTGACTGACTTTCCCATCTTGATTCATACAGCTGTTCCTCTACCCCTCCACGCCCTTTGCTATGTACTTACTAAACCATTTAAAGTGTTAATATAGACCAGTGCATTTTATGTATGTGTGAGCATTTATATCCTATCCATTCCCTATGACTTGACTACCCTGTGTTTTGTATTTTTATAAAGATTTATTTATTTATTTGAAGGGGAGAATAACAGAAACAGAATGAATGAGAGAGAAACAGAGAGATTGTCTATCCAATGCTGGTCCAAGCTGAAGATAGGAGCCCATAACTCCATCTGGATCTCCCACATGGGTAGCAGGGGCCCAAGTGCTTGGGCCATTTTCTAGAGATGGATTAGAAGCAGAGCTCCTGAGGCTCCAGTTTATACTCTGGTATAGGATGCCAGCATTGCAAGGCCTAACCCACTGTACCACAATGCTGGCCCTGTAAGAACATTTCACAAGTAGTTTTTCCATTCTCCCCACTTATGGACACTTAGATTATTTATAAATTGTTGCTATTTCAAGCAGTATTACTGTGATTTATATACCATTACATATTTCTTATATACCATTACTTGGATGAACATTCTTTCTTGAGGTTGACCTAGTTTGCGTACCTTCAACTTGACTGGATTTTTATCAGATGATTCATGACAATGTGTTTGCACAATTTTCTGTTGTCACCAGGGATATTTGAGTGTTCTGTTTTCTGTATCTCAGCCAACACTTGATATGTAAACCTTTTAAACCTTTGTCGGTATGACAGATGTAAAATGTTATCTCATTGTACTTTCATTTTGTGTCTGCTTGCTTACTAGTTTAAGTATCTTGTGGGTATGGCCAATTTTATTTTTCTCTTCTGTGAGTTATTTGAATGTTTTATCTGTTTTTTTTTTTTTTTTTTTTTTTTTTTTTTTTAAGATTTATTTGAAAGGCAGAGTTGAGGGATGTGGGGGGAGAGAGAAAGAAAGATCTTCCATCTGCTGGTTCACTCTCCAAATGGCCACAACAGCTGGTGCTGTGCTGAGCCAAAGCCAGGAGCCAGGAGCTTTATCCATGTCTTCCTCATGTGTAGCAGGGACCCAAGTACTTGAGTCACCTTCTGCTGCTTTCTTAGGCACATTAGCAGGGAGCTATATTGGAAGTGGAGCGACCAGGACTCAAATTGGTGCCTGTATGGGATGCCAGCATCACAGACAGTGGTTTTACCCATTATGTCTCAATGCTGGCCCCGTCTATCTTTTTCTTGATGTGATTACATTTCTCTAGTCTTAACCTGGCCTATCTTTTAACTTATCTTCATAGATTCTTTCTATTAACCTAATTTTTGTAGTGTTAATGTAATGAGATCTATCAATCTATTGCTTTGTTTGTGAATTTTGAGTCTTATTTAAGAAAATTATCCCTAATCTATAGTCATACAAAGTTTTTTTTAAAGATTATTTATTTATTTGAAAGGCAGAATTACAGAGTCAGAGGCAGAGAGAGATCTTCCATCTGCTGGTTCACTCCTCAAATGGCTGCAACAGCTGGAGCTGTGCTGATCTGAAGCCAGGAGCCAAGAGCTTCTTCAGGGTCTCCCACATGGGTACAGGGCCCAAGCACTTGGGCTATCTTCCACTGCTTTCCTAGCAGAGAGCTGGATTGGAAGTGGAGCAGTCAGGTCTCAAACCAGTGCCCCTGTGGGGCTCCGGCACTGCAGGTGGTGGCTTTACTTGCCACACCACAGCACCAGCCCCATAGAGATTTCTTTTATGCTTCCTTCTAAAATTATAAAGTTTCATACTTCACATTAATTTACTTAGAATTTTTTCACCAACTGGATAACCAGTTAAGCCAGTATCATTGAATGGCCAATCTTTCTCCCACTGATCCACAATACCATTTCTGGCATATGTCAAGATATTATTGTATCTTGTAGTGCAGTAGATTAAGTTGCAGCCCCCCACAATGCTGGCATCCCATTGGGGAACCGGTTCAAGTTTTGGCTGCTCCACTTCCAATCCGGCTCCCTGCTAATGTACCTGGGAAGTTAGTAGAAGATGGCTCAAGTGCTTGGGCCCCTGCCACACATGTGGGAGACCTGGATGGAGTTCCTGCCTCCTGGTTTTAGCTGGGTCCCATCCTGGCCATTGTGGTCATCTGAGTAGTCAATCAGCAGATTTTCTCTTACCTCCCCCACCCTTTTCCCACCCAGTCTCTTTCTCTCCCTGTAACTGCTTTTAAAATAAATAAAATAGATCATTTAAAAAAAAGATATCATTTTGCATATATGTGTAAGATGTCATTGCAGGGTAATTTTATATTTAGACTTTCAATTCTTTTTTCTTTGATCTGTTTCTGTATCCCAGTCTCAATTAAAATCAATGTATGTTTGGGCTGGCACTGTGGTGTAGCAGGTAAAGCTGCCGCTTTTCCCATATGGGCACCGATTTGAGAGCTGGCTGCTCCACTACAGATCTGCTCTCTGCTGTGGCCTGGGAAAGCAATAGAAGAGGCCCAAGTCCCTGACCCCTGCACCCAAATGGGATGACCCGGAGGATGCTCCTGGCTCCTGGCTTCGGATCGGCATAGCTCCATCAGTTGCGGCCGACTTGGGAGTGAACCATTGGATGGAAGACCTCTCTCTCTCTCTCTGGCTCTGGCTCTGGCTCTGGCTCTCTGTAACTCTGCCTTTCAAATAAATAAATGAATCTTTAAAAAAAAGATTCAGTGAAACCAAATGGTCATGAAGTAGGGAAAATGGACATATATAGGCACAATTTATAAACAGCCAATAAGCATATCAACCCTATGAGTAATTTTAAAATTAGTCAAAGTGAAAATTGGTTATGGGATAAGAAACAGAAAACCTTACGTATTGGTAGTACAAATATAAAATCATCTATAATTGGTAGACAATTTGTTAATAGCAAAAAGCAGTAAGAATGAGAATATTCTGATGCCACAATTCTATCTAGGTTTTTTACTAAGCAAATACAGAGGTATTTATACTTATGTAGTCACTGAATTTTCATGATAGAAAATTAAATACAGATGACAATAATAGGGACTGTTTAAATAAATCATGGTGATATATTTCTAGAAAATATGACAGACTAAGTAGTCTGAAAGACCTCCTAGTACATAATCCCCTAAATGCTGGGTAACTGAACTCATAAGAAGTGCAAAGCCAAAAATCAATGGGGATAGGCCGGCGCCACAGCTCACTAGGCTAATCCTCCACCTGCGGCGCCGGCACCCCGGGTTCTAGTCCCAGTTGGGGCGCCGGATTCTGTCCTGGTTGCTCCTCTTCCAGTCTGGCTCTCGGCTGTGGCCCAGGAGGGCAGTGGAGGATGGCCCAGGTGCTTGGGCCCTGCACACGCATGGGAGACCAAGAGGAAGCATCTGGCTCCTGGCTTTGGATCGGCGCAGTGCGCTGGCCGCAGCATGCCAGCCACAGCACGCCGGCGGTAGTGGCCATTTGGGGGGTGAACCAATGGAAAAGGAAGACCTTTCTCTCTGTCTCTCTCACTGTCTAACTCTGCCTGTCCAAAAAAAAAAAAAAAAAAAAAAAAGGAAGCAACAACATAAAATAGCAAGCTCAGCCGAAATCCTGTTATTCCTTGGGCATCTGTCTACACTAGGGACCTGAAGCCTTGGCTCGCACAGGTGAAATGATATAGTAAGAACTGCAATGCATTATTGCTTATGAATCAATTAGGAAGAATTGCCTTAGCACACATGATTTAAAAAAAATTATTTGGGCCAATGCTGTGGTGCATTGAGTTAACGCCCTGAAGTGCCAGCATCCCATGTGGTCGCTGGTTTAAAACCTGGCTGCTCCACTTCTAATCCAACTCTCTACTATGGCCTGGGAAAGCAGTACAAGATGGCCCAAGTCCTTGGGCCCCTGCACCTACGTGGGAGACTCGGAAGAAACCCCTGGCTCTTGGCTTGGGATCGGCGCAGCTCCGGCCGTTGTGGCTAATTGGGGAGTGAACCAGTGGATGGAAGACCTTCCCCTCCCCCCTGCTTCTCCTCCCTCTAGGTCTCCCACATTGGTGCAGGGGCCCAAGGATTTGTGCCATCTTCTACTGCTTTCCCAGGCAAGAGCAGAGAGCTGGATCAGAAGTGGAGCAGCTAGGACTTGAACCGGTGCCCATATGGGATGCCGGCACTGCAGGCCATGGCTTTACCTGCTATGCCATAGAGCTGGCCTTGGGTTTCATTCATTGTTTACTTATTTGAAAAAATGAGGAAAGAGAGAATGACAGAGAGAAAAGCTCCCATCCACTAGTTTGCTCCCCAGATTCCCTCATCAACTGAGGGGCTAAAGCTAGGAGCCAGGACTCAATCCAAATCTCCCACATGGCTGGCAGGAACCGGACTAACTCAGTCTGCATTAACAGGAAGCTAGAATCAGGAGCCTGGTATTGAACCCAAGTACTCTGATATGGAATGTGGGCATCTTAACGGATGTCTTAACTTGAAGGCCATACATTATTCTGTGTTTCCTGGATTTTTAACTCTACTTTGACTTTTATTCCATACAGGGCTTCCAACAAATCAAAGCAATTATTTGGCTTTATTGTTTAGAAACACATAATAGTATTTATACATGAAGTGGATGTCTAGGTTTCCTTTATAGAAAGGGGAGAAATGGATGATTTATAGATAAAAGGTTGAATATATAATATTTTAAAGATTTCTTTATTTATTTGAAAGGCAGAGAGTGAGAGAGAGAGATATCTTTGTCTGTTAATTTAGTCTCCAAATGGCTGTAGTGACCACAGCTTGGCCAGGCTAAGGCCAGGAGCCTGGACTTCCATCCGAGTGTCAGGTGCCCAAGCACTTGGGATGTTTTCCACTTCTTTCCCAGGTGCATTAGCAGAACTGGAGTAGCCAGGACTTGAACCAGTCAGTGCTCATCTATGATACTGTTGTTGCAGTCAGTAGCTTAACCCACTGTGCCACAGCACTGGCTCCTGAATATATATTTCTAACTGTTGAAACTGGTTGAGGTATTTAAGGGTTCACTATATTGTTCTTTTTTCTGTCTAAAGTTTTCTATAGTAGTTTATTATTTTTCTAAAGTTTATAGGATAGTTGGCAAGAGCTAGCAGTTGATATTTTTTATTTTGATTTTTATATCTGAAAAAAACAGTAATAAATATTTGAATGTTTCTTTAATCCCAGTATAACTGAATTTTAACTTTTTAGAGACTTTCTGAAAATTTTAATTGACATATTTTGGAGGTACAATGTAATATTTTGACAAATGTATACATATGTATATGTATCACCTCAAATAGTCTTTGCTTTGTTCATTCTTTCTCTCTTCTTCTTTCTTCTTCATTTGAAAGGCAGAGTGACAGAGAGGAAGTGACAGAGATCTTCCATTCATTGGTTCACTCCCTAACTAGCCTCAACAACCAGGGCTGGGCCAGGCTGAAGTCAGGAACCAGAAACTCCATCCATGTCTCCCATGTGGATAGCAGGGGCCCAAAGACTTGGGCTGTCTTCCGCCGCTTTCCCAAGCACATTAGCAAGGAGCTAGATCTGAAGCAGAGCAGCTGCAGCAGCTTAACCTGCTGCATCATAATGCTGGCCCCCAATATTTGTCATTTCTTTGTGGTAGCATTTCAAATCCTCTTCTATCTATTCTGAAATACTTAGTACATTGTTATTAACTGTAGTCACCCTGCTATGCTTTAGAACACCAAGACGTATTCCTCCTAACTGTAACTGTACTCACTGACCAACATCTCCCTGTGCCCTGTCCACTTCCCCCAGCCTCTGCTAGCCACTATTCATTCAACTCTGCTTTTAAATTTCACTTGTAAGTGTGATCATACAGTAGATTTGTCTCTCTATATCTGATTTATTACCCTTAATATAATGTCCTCTAGGTTTATCTTTGTTTTTGCAAATGATAGAATATTTTTTTTCTCCCTAGGCTGAATAGTTTTCCATTGGGTGTATATACCACATTTTAGGTTGTTTCTATATCTTTGCTGTTGGAAATAATGCTGCAGTGAACATGAGTGTGTAAACATCTCTTTGACATACTTATTTCAAGTCCTTTGGGTATATGCCTAGTGGTAGGACTGCCGGATCATATGATAGTTCTCGTTTTAGTGTTTTGAGACCTTCCAAAGCATCTTCTGTAATGGCTGTACTAGTTTGCATTCTCATCAGCAGTGTATGAGACTTGTCCTCTGCAATCTCATCAACCTTGTTATCTAACAACCAATCTAACAAATGAGAGCTGTTAGATACCTCACTGTGGTTTAATTTGTGTTTCTCTGATGATTAGAGATACTGAGCATTTTTTGCACATATCTGTTTCACATTTGTACGTCTTCCTTTGAGAAATGTCTGTTCAAGATCTTGTCCAATTTTATGGGGTTATTTTTTTCTTGTTGAATTTAAACTTTCATTGACTTTTAAATTTTAATTTGTGTAAACTTAAACACAACTTAATGCTTACTGACTTAATCTTGTTTACTATTTACTGATTTTTTTAAATGTATCTTTAAAGAATCCCATAGGAAGGATAAATCTGGCCAATTGTACCAGTCGTCAAATAGAACCAGCCAACAGAGAATTTTGTGCAAGACGCAACACTTTTGAATTAATTACTGTCCGACCACAAAGAGAAGATGATCGAGAGACTCTTGTCAGCCAGTGCAGGGATACACTCTGTGTCACCAAGTATGTATTGGCCTATAAATATTTCTGTCAGCTAATGATTGACTGTCCGTTATATTCTTGGCACTCCAGGAAATATCTGAGATTGTCCTTGACTCTGAAAAAATGCAGCCTTAGTAAGAAGACAGATGCACACAACAGAAAGAGACAACCTACAATCACTAAAAATAGAGTTAAGAAAAGTATAATATTCATGACGCATCTTAGCTAATCGTGTTTTCCAGTGTGGGTTTTTTATTTTATTTTTTTAAAGATTTATTTCTTTATTTGAAAGGCAGAGTTACAGCGAGGCAGAGACTGAGAGGTGGGGAGGTCTTCCATCCACTGGTTCACTCCCCAGTTGGCCGCAATGACCGGAGCTATGCCGATTTAAAGCTAGGAGCCAAGAGCTTCTTCCAGGTCTCCCACGCGGGTGCAGGGGCCCAAGCACTTGGGCCATCTTCTACTGTTTTCCCAGGCCATAGCAGAGAGCAGGACTGGAAGTGGAGCAGCCAGGATGTGAACCAACATCCATTCGGGATGCTGGCACTGCAGGCTGTGGCTTTACCTGCTATGCTACAGCACTGGCCCCTCAGTGTGGGCTTTTTAAGGAAATCAGCTAATAATTTTGGGGTTAGGTTTAAAGACCTTCTTTGTAGTTGAGAAGTCTAACATTTTTCAGACATTTTATACGTCCCTTCCTTTCCATTGCAAAAATAATCCCTCTTAGATGACTCACAAAATCAAATTTCTTCTATTCTGCAAATTTCTGATTAGAGATCAGCAAATTGGTAGGACTATTACTTTCATTTATTTTTAAAGACTTATTTATTTGAAAGAAAGAGTGACGGAGAAGGAGAGACAGAGAGAAACATCTTCCATTTACTGGTTCACTCCTTAAGTGACCACCACAGTCATTCTGGATAAGCCCAAAGTCAGAAGACAGGAGCTCCATCTGGGTCTCCTGTTGGGTGGTAGGAACTCAAGAATTTGGGCTCTCATCTGCTGCCTCTCAGAAACATTAGCGGGAAGCTGGACCAGAGAGCAGAGCCAGGACTGGCACTGACATTCTGATAGGAGAATCTTGTGGGTGGCTCCGTCTGCTGTGCCACAATGTCAGCCTCACTTTTTTAAAAATTAACTTATTTGTTTTTATTAACCTGAGCTTAAGTATAAGGTGCAAAATTTTATTGCTAAAGGTCTAACATAGGTTCATTTTTTTTGGATACCTAAAGAAGCTTAAAGGCCAACTTAAGTGTACAAAGTGTGACTAGGGACCAAAGTTAGAATTTAGCAGTCTATGTTACTCAGGCTATTGCTGGATATGCCAGAGGAGGAGACAGGTAGAACTAGCTTCATGAATTTCAAATATGAGTGGTTGAGAAAGCTACAGCCAGGAGACACTACTGAAACAGAACAAAGTTGCCCAGAGATTGCTGGTTGTTTTTAAAATAGCCAGAGAACCCATTCTTTGGAAATTTTTAATATCTGAACTATTTCCAGATTAATTTATGTTAACTGATCTGTTCCTTTCTTTGAACCTCCTTCTATACAGCTATAGTATTCAGGACATGGGAGGCAAAGTGAACTTATAGTCACTTTGATAGATACCCTGTCCATGAACATTGTCAACAGAAGAACCAACCAAAATACAGCACCAAAATAGTTCCTAACCACAATAGCCCATTTTAGTCTTTTAAAATATTTTTCACATTTTTCATCCAAACTTATGTTTTATCTTATAGATTTCTCCTTAGACCTTCCCTTGGATTGAAGTAGCTAGATCACTGTTGCTCTAATTACTGTGGACCTCATTGTAACATTATTATATCTTAGGTGGATACTACTTTCCCCAAGTTTATGAGAGTGGTACATACTTACTTAATTCAGGTTTGGTTGAGTCTTCAGTTTTCCTTGGGGGCCAAAAACTTATTTCACTTTTTTGATTATAAGAATATAAACATTCTGCAGTTAGGCATTCTCTTGCTTTATTATTGATCCTTTACAGGGCCTTTTTGATCTATAGCTATACCTTTTACCTAAGTTTAATTACTTTGTTTCATTCTACTAACCAAGCTTTTTCTTTTCCTTCATTGGTACCAAAGATTTCTCTTATGATAAATACTGCCTGCTTCAAAATACAGAATCCATGTTTGAACTGGAAATGCTTTGTTACTTGGGGAAGCAGTTTTTTACAGTGGAGCTTTCAAGTCAACAGACCTAAGTTGAAATCCTGAGTCAGTGCTTTACCAGATGTAACCATGGCAGGTCTCTTGAGTTTGTTGGTTTTCTGGGTTCTCCTGTCTCAAAGGAAGAAATAAATGCTACAGGGATACCATAGAAATTAATGAGTTGGCATAAACAGCATAGTTTGGAGCACAAGGGATGAGTTCAACAAATGGCCACTATTATTTTTGTATGTAGTGTTCTATTGACCACTAGGAGATAATAAACTCACCATTTATTCATGCTTACGGCTTTTTTGAGCCTTTGGAGAAAAAATGTTAGCATACAGAAGCAGTACATTATAAACCTGACAGCTGGTGACTCTCTAGAGGCATGTCTGGCTGAGCATTGGGGGATTCCCTCTTTCCTTTCCTTTCCTTTCCTTGCCTGCCCTGTCAACTAGTTACTCATTTAACTTGTAGAGAGATGTGGATACAAGGAGAGAATCCTGATGTGCACAGACACATTAGGAGAAGCAAAGACTTAGGATCTTTAGCTAATTCATTGTAAATACCATGTTCTGCTAACACAGTAAGACAAAATGGGCATGGTGCAAAATAGTTTTGCTTTTAAAGCCAGCCAAAAGTTCATGAACCTGTGAGTCCAAGTCTTTGGAAATTTGAGTCTGAAGGATCTGGGGACCTCCCAGATCTGGGCCTGTGGTTATCTTGCCGAGAAGTTGCCCACACTCTGTGGATGTCTCACCCCATCAAATTGCCAGGCTAGATAATTGTTCTCTGCTGTACTTGGAAAAGTACCTCGCTATGTAGCTCTTGATTAGCACTCACTAAAAGAAGAACTAATTTTACTGATTTATTTAGGTATTTGTTTCCTAGTCAGAGTCCTTGCTGGTACTGAATGTGGTGGAAGAATCCTGATCTTTTGTTTGTTTGCTCCTTTAGGAACTGGCTGTCTGCAGATACTAAGGAAGAGCGGGACCTCTGGATGCAAAAACTCAATCAGGTTCTTGTTGATATTCGCCTCTGGCAACCTGATGCATGCTACAAACCTATTGGAAAGCCTTAAACCAGGGGATATTTCCGTGCCACATAGTGGTTTTTTTTTTTTTTTTTTTTTTTTTTTTTTTGAGCAGTGTCATAAAAGTATCTTAAGGAAACACACTTAAGAACATTAGATTTGCTGATTGAATGCTTTAAATATGAAAGGGTTTGTGCAAATATTCACTACATATGCAGTATTTATATGTTTTGTGTATAAAACTTCATTTGGTTTCTGTCATTCATAAATGATTAGAAGTAAATTCCTTATAGTTGATTTTGCTAAATAGTATTTAAAAGTCTCATTTTCCTAGAAATCTAATTATTTAGTTATTCATGACAAAATATTTTTTTAAAAATAAGAAATTCTGAGTTATCTGCTTGGAGTTCTTGGTGTCGCAGTAGCAAGGTCTTACAGAAGTTGGAGATAGAAACCTCAGGTTGGTGATCCCTTCTCTGGCCTTGATAGTTTTTTCTGAAGTTTATGATCATTTCTTGATTGTGATTATGACCTGTTATCAGAGTACTGAAAAAAATGTCTGGGACTTCATAGAAACATTTTAGTAATGGATATGAGGACTTTTTCAAATAGCAAATGTATTGTTTAAAGCTTAAAGCTGCCTTCAAAAAAGAGATGTAGACAGGGTACATCGTGTAAAATTTTGGGACTGAATATTTTATATAGGAGAGTTAATAATCACATGGTTTACATTTATTCAGTTATGATGTATGCAGTGTGGTGCACATTTTCATAGAATTCAGGCTTTACTGAAATAACTTTTTTGGCCGTATAGCTTATAGATTCCTCAAATGTTAGAATTCTATCTGCTTCTGTAACAAGAACAAATGTAAATTGAAGAATCTTTAAAGCTGCTATGGACTAATACTTTGCCTGCCAAAGTTCTTGGTTTTTTTTTTTTTTTTTTAATGTTCATCAATGACCATGTCTAGAAACCTACTTTGAAATCATTCAAAAAAACATTGTCATGTATTACCTTCAAAAGTCTAATACCTTTTTTATTAGAAAATATTGTAAAGCATGGTCTGAACGTTTAAATATACTTTGAATTTCTTCTCTGAATTGTTAAAGTTATTAGTGATTTCATTTATAAACACTAATTCTATCACCTTCTGTCATTTTTTTGTTCATTCAAATGTGTTTTCTTATGTTTATTATAAAAATATATTTTATGATCTCTTACCCAAATAAATACTTGTAAATGGCTTAAGGAATCATTTGTTCAAGAAATACTGTTTATATGCATGGTGCAGCTCTTCTACATCCCTAGGCTGTAAGGCTGCTGCTGCTTTTTTTTTTTTTTTTCTTTTTTTTTTTTAGGTTGTTTGTGAGATCAATGGAGCTCCCAATCTCCCAATTGCAGGTTCCCTCCTCAAATGCCTCAAATGGCTGGGGCTGGGCCAGGGCCAGTGCTAGAGTCAGGGACTTAATCCAGGACTACTACATGAGTGACGAGGACCCAACCATTTGAGCCATTACTGCTGCCTCTCAGGGTTTGTGTCAGCAAGGAGCTAGGAGCAAGAACCTGTGGGAGTTCCTAAGGGTATTGTACTGACAGTGCTTCATTCATCTTTTTAGCTGCAGCCCAGTACTTGGCTCATTGTGTAGTCTTAGGACTGCTGTCGAATGTATAGGTGAGTGAAAGATCCATTTCCGAGGCATTTCAGCAACTTATGGCAATTGGGGAAGTATTTGAGGTGGAGGGGATTCCCAGATGCTTAGCAGAGAATGGATGATGGGAAGGTCCCTTGTGTATATTGATAGACTTGCATTTATTTTTGTATAGGCATTACCTATCATGGTGCAAAATCTCAGAGACACAACAAGTTTAAGTGAAAAGTAAATCTTTCTCTGATAATCACTTTTAGCAGTATTCTATTTTAGTGTATTCTCTCAGGACACTATGCATATCACATAGACAGATTGTATGTGTATTATCACACAGAAATACTTGCATTCTTTGGTTCATAGTTTTCCATTCGGTTTGTTGTCAGTTAAGGGAAAAAGGTACAACATCTCTTAGCAATCATTCCATTTTAATATATATATATATATATATATAGTATATATAAATTTCAGTTTTAAAAGTAATTTAGGTTAAGGTGACTGTGGAACATCAAGTTAGAAATGCCCTATTAACACTGAAAAATACTGGTCTAGTGATTTCAGTGTCGTTTGCCTAGAAGGAGTTTGTTGAAACCATTGCAGTAGACAGGCTCATCCAGGGAATGTGATGTGGAAAGAGATGCAAGAGTAGGAGAAACACTGTTCTCCAGGGGAAGAGTGAAAAAGGAGTGGCATCTGTGAAAGAAAAATAGTAGTGTGTCTGTCAGAAGGCAGAGTAACAAAATTTACAGTGGCCAGTTCAGTAAAACAGGAGAAAATATTCAAAATGTATTAATAATCAAATATTAATATGGAAAACATATAAAATCCTGTGACTGGCTATCATTGTGGAGTACTTGCTGTGTTTCAGTTGTTATTCTTGATGTTTTTGTCCACATTATCTCACGTAATCTTCACATGACCCTGAAACTGAGGCTGTCCTTAGCATTGGCAGACCAATATTCAAAACCCTCTGCTCCAGAATCCAGACTTCACCATTATGCTGTGATGTTTCAAATTAGTAAGAAAAGGAAACTTTAACCTAAAAGAGGGACAAATAATATTAATAGGAAATGCATGCACACAAACACAAATTCAGAGAGCCAACACATGTAAAAAGAATAGTGCTAATAAAGAAAAACACAGATTTAAATGAGTTATTAGCCCCAAAACTGGTGAAACTATAGACAGAGTTGTGGTGGCTTGTGCAGTGTTTTAAAGGCCACTTGGGGTGCCCTGACCCCGTAGTGCAGTACTGGGGGTTGAGTTCTGGCTTTGCTTCTGACTCTAGTTACCTGCTAATGTACTCCTTGGAGGCAGCAGATAACGACTCAGGTACTTGGGTCCCTGCTTTCCAAGTGGGAGACCTAGATTGAGTTTTGGGCTCCTGATTAGCCTTCTGGATCTCTCACATGGGCAGCAGGGCCCCAGGCTCTTAGACTACTTTTCCCAGGCTGTTAGCAGGGAGGACTCAAACTGGCACCCACATGTGATGCCGGCATTGCAGAGAGAGGCTTTACTTGCTGTACCACAATGCTGGCCCCATTGACTAGTTTTTTTTTTTTTTTTTAAATATTATTTACTTGAAAGACAGTTACACAGAGAGATAAGGAGAGGCAGAGGAGAGGTCTTCCATCTGCTGGTTCACTCCCCAGTTAGCCACAACGGCTGGAGCTGCGCCGATCTGAAGCCAGGAGCCAGGAGCTTATTCCAGGTCTCCCACATGGGTGCAGGGGCCCAAGGACTTGGGCCATCTTCTGTTTTCCCAGACCATGGCAGAGAGCTGAATTGGAAGTGGAGCAGCCAGGACTCGAACCAGCACCCAAATGGGATGCTGCACTGTAGGCGGCAGCTTTACCTGCTATGCCACAGTGCCTGCCCCTGAATAGTTTCTATATCCATGATAAGTGATTATTTTTAGAATGACATGTAGTTCAACATCAATTCTTTTCCTTTTTCACTTTTATAGATAACCTAAGTAGGTGAACATGGAAAGAACTTAGTTAAAGCAAAAAGTCATTCAATTCTTTGAACTTTTCAGTTGTCTATCATAATTATTTTTATTACTGAACTCAATTATTTTGGCTAACATAGAAGCGTAGAGGCTTTGCCATTGTAAAAAAAATGAACGATAATACAAATACAGTAGATCAACCAATGTACAAGTTTCTTTTTCAGATGACAGTCCCAAGTGAGGGCAGCAGTCCTGAGTAGAGAGGTGGTTGTTTATGGACCTTGAAGATATCCAGGGATGAAATTCTTACCCCTGTCATAGCCTAGTGTGACCCTTGGTTTCATGGCCAAAGCTAGCTTACTAGCATCACATCTGTAGACCACCTTTAAAGAAGCAAGAATGAGGAGAGCCCGTCCCCAGTCATTTTGGGGTCAAGTCTCAGAATTGGCACACATCACTTCTCACCTCCACTGGCAAGAACTTAATCAGATAGCAATACCTTATTGCTGGAAAATATAGCCTTTCGTTGACTGACCACAAACTCTTAGGGAAATTCATAATGGTAACTATTCGTTTGAGACAGATATTTGGTTTTTGTTACACAAAGGATGTTTCTGTATAGCCCCATTTTTCTATGGTCAACTCTCAAATTCATAATCAATATAACATTCCCCACCAAGGAAAAAATTTTTAACCTCTTGGTTCATAAGTACCGAGGCTAGTTTGTTTCTATAATCTGGAAACATTTAGATTGGATGGAATTTGTCTACTTCTTGGTGATTTTAAAGACCTGTCCTCCCGTCCTCCATTAGATATCTATTACTGAGTAACAGATTCTCCCCGACCTTACTGGTCTAAAATGACACCATTTACTATCCTGTCGTGGTGCACTGGGGATCTAGATAGGGCTGGACTGGACACTGGTTCAGAGTGTGTCACAAGGCTGCAATCAGGGTTTGTTAGTTCCAGGTCAACAGTCTTCTCAAGGCTGGGCTAGGGAGGGCTTCACTTTCAGCTCCTTCATATGATTGGAAGGATTCCGTTCCTCACATCCTGGTATATTCTGGGGAAGAGGAGACTCAGTTTTTTGCTGACTCTTGATTGAAGGCTGCCCTCAATTTCTTACGACATGGGCCTCTCCACAGGGCAGGTCGCCACATCTCAGCTTGCACGGAGGGAGCAATGGAGAAAAGTACGAGAAAGCGTAAGACGGAAGTCTACATTTTCTGTAACCTTTCTGAAAGCGACATCTCATCCGTTTTACTGTATCATTTATTAGGATCAAATCACTAGATCAAGACACACTCAGGAGGGTGAATCACTGAGAAACTACCTACCAATTTGATTATAATTTTGTAATTTCTTCTGTGGTCTTTGACCAGTATAATATTATTATTAATTGACTTATCTCTAGAAACTCATTCCTATTTTCAAGCCTTTAAATATAAAACTGTATATTCTATTTTCATATAGTTTTTAAAAATGTCTTTTATTGGGGCCGGCGCTGTGGCGTACGTAGCGGGTTAACGTGCTGGCCTGAAGTGCCAGCATCCCATATGGGTGCTGGTTCGAGATCCAGCTGCTCCACTTCCTATCCAGCTCTCTGCTATGGCCTGGGATAGCAGTGGAGGATGGCCCAAGTCCTTGGGCCCCTGCACCCGCATGGGAGACCCGGAAGAAGCTCCTGGCTCCTGGCTTTGGATTGGCACAGCTCTGGCCGTTGCGGCTAATTGGGGAGTGAACCATCGGATGGAAGACCTCTCTCTCTCTGCCTCTCCTTCTCTCTCTCTGTAAATCTGACTTTCAAATAATAAATAAAATAAATCTTAAAAAAAGTTTAAAAATATCTTCTATTTGTGTGTGTGTGTGTGTTTACCTCCTTTACTTTGTTCTTAGCTTTGGCATAGTTCTTTATCTTAGCTTTTTTAGTTCTATTGAGCTTTTCAAAGAAGTTCTGGTTTGACAAATTCTAGCATTTTTTCAGTTTTTGAACCATACAGTTTTATCTTTATTAAATTATACTATGATTTGGATGTTAAATGTCCCCTAAAAGCCTGTGTGTTAAAGCCTGGGTCCCCAGGGTGACACTGTGGGGAGGTGGTAGAAATTTTAGGAGATGGGGCCTACTGGGAAGTTCTTAGGTCTTTGAGGTCATGCTCTTTGACTGTAGTTCTCAGGAGCAGGTTGTTATAAAAGCCTAAGTTTGGGCCCAACCACTCCCTCTGCTCCCTACCTTGCCATTTGACCCATCCTCCCCACATACTCTGCTATCCACCATGTAGCTTTCACAAGAACC